GATGGTCCCCTTGTTTAAGTTGGTGAATGCTGCCATAATCCTTGCCTTCATCTTTGTTGTTACAAAGAAGTTTTGTTGGTCCCTCACTCAACTGTGCCCCACACATAATAATCAAGAAGGTTGACGTCTGGGGAATTAGATGGCCAGATGTAAGGGATGATGTGGTCGAGGAAATTGTTTAACAGCCATGACTGGGTTCTCCTGTTTGTGTGGAATGGTGCAGAATGCCGTTGCCAGACATAGGGGTCTTCCAACATCTACCCTCTTGACCCAGGACAGCACTACCTTCTCACGGCACTTGATATAGGCCTCCGTGTTGAGTCTGGGGCCCTATGAGAAGATGAATGTAGGCATAACATTGCCATCATTATTGATCACCCCAAACACCTTCGTAATCACAATTAGACTCATCTAACTCTTTCCAAATCCTCTGCACTGTTCTCAGATTGACCCCCAAATACCCTGAAATGTTTGTATTAGAGTTTTTGGCACAAATATCAAGCAGTATAGCATGGCGTTTCCAAATTTCTGGCAGAGTGAATTGCATCATGGTGCTCTTCATCTGCCAGACAGTGCCCAACTGACCCTACTATACTGTTCAGTCAACGAAAACAAAAACAAACAACATACATGTACGAAATTAAAAATATAAAATGCGACAATTTACCCATCATATTCTGTATACGTATGTTCATATATATATATATATATATATATATATATATATATATATATATAAAAAAATGTATGACAAAGTGGAAAAGTTTTCTAGTGACATGTTTTGTTCTTTAGGACTTCATCAGACTAAATTTGTTATGTTGGTGCAACTACACATGCTCATGAATGAGGGATGCTGGGAATTTTAAATTTTTTATCTAGCAGATTTCATTTAGATTCTTTTCCATTATTCACTGTGCCTTCGAATTTTGGTGTTGCATTTTCTGTCCTCCGTTCTGTCCTCCATTTTCTGTCTTCCTAGATATTTAAATTTTTTCATTTTTTTTTTTTTAAGCTTTTCACCCCAAGCAAAGCAGGAAGCCACTAGGACGCAAGGGGTTACAGAAGATTTGGAGCAAGATCAGATAGGAATAATAGAAGAAAGGATGAGGAGAAGGATAGTGGATAGATCAAGACAACTGGAGATGTCGATTGACATTACATTTGAATAGTTGGAGATTATAGCTCTCAGGGAAACTGGAATAGGGAAGGAAGTTCCACAGGCAAGAGATGCGAGACATGAAGCTGTTGGAGTAGAAGAGACGGCTACATTTAGTAGTTTCGACAGTGAAAGGGTGAGAGTGGGATGCCAGCCTCGTAAGGTGCTTGAACTCATGAAGTCTGGGAACCAGCGAATTACCATGAAAGTATTTGTGAAAAAGACAGAGAGGTGACGGCGCATATGTGAGAGAGTGACTGTAGATGAGATGCCAGAACAGGGCCAATTATATTGCATATCCGCCTCTGGAGCTTATCAAGAACCCTGAGGCAAATAGAAGGTTTGTTTGATTCTGACATCTCCAATTTGTAATTTTCCTGTTGGGTTGTCCCTTTTACTGACACCCATACATCCTGTTTTAAGTTGAAGTTGCATTGATTAACTTTTAGAAAATAGAACGTATTTAACTATTTTTTCTAGCTTTGTGCTTAGATTTTGATGTAAGATGAATTTTCTTGAGAGAAATTTCTTGATTCTGAGATGGCAAAATATCTCACAAGGAATTTTTGTTTCTGATATTTTAATTTTGGCAGTGAATCATATAAAGAGTCAAGAAAATTTTTAGCTGGCAATGACAGCCATAAAAGCAATGGTTACCTTAGAGTGCCTGATAAGATATTTTGATGTTATGATCGCAAACAAAAATATCTTGGTCCCAAGTGTTTATAAAAGAAAAAAAAAATGTCATCTCATTAATATTTGAACTTTGGATCAAGAAGGGAATTTCCTTTGAAAGATAACGGAATTTTATTATGGAGCATGAGAGAGAGAGAAGTGAGAAAACAAAGAAAAAGAAGGAAGAGAAAAAGAAAGAGACAAACACTCAAATATTGTCTGACCAGCAGTCAATAAATTTTAATTGGTTGTTTTTTAACTCAATGAGCAGACATTAAACATCCATGTTCTTACCAGAAAGAAAAAAAAAAGAGTCACATTTGATTTGTTTAGAGAGAAGAGATTTTTTTGAGTGAGGAAAAAAAACCCGAAAAAAAGCCACCTCTGATTATTTATATATAAGAAATTGAAAAAAAATTCAGCTTCAACACTACTCGAGTTTAAACCTTATGATCTCATCAGGTGATTTTTGGTAAATAATTATTTTGTAGCATTATTTTACCCCACTTACATAACTTAACTTGGCACCATCCGTCCATTGGTCTGAGCAATATAGGAAAAAATCTGTTTACTATAAATTTAAATCTTCATATTATATATATATATATATATATATATATATATATGAACATTCTAACCACTTGGCAATGTGCCCATTTGCATTCTGACAATGAGACCCGGATTTGAATCTCACCAGGGTCGATTTGTCAGGAAGGAGATTTTTTGATGTTATCAGACTCGAGGGGTCGATCTCAGCATGCAGCACTTTTGGAAAGTACCTGAAAACCATATCACGGGCTGACCCAAGCTTTGTGAGTGAAATTAGGTAGATGGAACCCTTGGGTGCCCTTGATAGCTGTGCTAGCACAAAGTCCCAAGTCATTGTGGCTGAGGGCTTGAGTGTGCTGGCCTTGTTCAAATTGTTGATCACACTAGATAACACACTTTTTTCCATATATATAATTCTTTTTTTTTTCTAAAGAATTAATGAATTTTATTTTTTAATGGCATATATTGTTATTATTTTAAACATTATTATTAACAGATACCTGTATGTGTTTATTTTAAACATTATTTTATTTTGTCTGCTGGCCTGTACATTCTCATGGAGACTTATTAATGAAAAATGCACCATTTGGAGTTTTTTTTAATAAGTTTTTGAGTGTGCTGGCCAGTAGATAAAATAATGTTCAAAACAAATGGAGTATCTTCTCAAATAAGGGTAAACACTAAAGATAATGCTAAAGGTAATAAATAAATATATATTTAAACATTTTGTTTGCTACTTTTCTTGTGGCTATCTCTGAATATATTCTTATCTCCCCTATAACCCCCCCAAAAAAAAAAAAAAAAATCAAAATAAGAGACTGTAACCAAGAAAAAAAAAACAGCTTCAAAATCTATAATAAGGGTAAAAAAAAAAAAAAAATTATTGAAAAGTGTCTATTAGACAAGGAGAATGTTTACAAATCCTCTTAAAAGCCAGGCTCATTACCTGTTGCCTGTGATGTCCTGAAATGAGGAAATGCCAAGGAGGCTTGAACAATTTTTGCATGGCTACCAAAGTCAATTTAAAATCAACCTTGTGTCTGCTTCTACTTGAGTGAGTGTGCATCTCTATTGCATACGCACTTACTGCTATCAAAAGAGCAAAGAACTTATTCAATTGTTTCTTAGCGTTGTTTGTGCTTGGGAGATATTATAGAATGACCTTGACAAAGGTTAAAGATGTTTTGATAAACCTATCATTTTCATGTAAATAGGAAAGAATTTGAAAATCTCCAAACATTTGTTGTTATAATTGTTATCATTATATATAAGGGTTTTTGTAGCACTTTATCATTATAAGTTTTCCTGTTTTAAACTCATTAATCACTTGAATATGACAGAACAAGTCTATCAAAACATGATCTTACAAAGATACTGAAAAGTACTTTTTTTTTTATTTAAAAAAGACTTTTGCTTTAAGCTATTTATTTAAAAAAAAACAACCTTAAGCAAACAGATTATTAAAAAAGAATTAGTGACAGAAAATATTGGTATTAAAGTGAGAGTTTATATTCTCATTGGAGGTAGTTTTTTGAAAGTTGTCAGAAAGAAAAGACATGAGGAAAATATAAATTTAAAAAAGTCACAATTTTCATTACAATTCAGCAGTAAACAAAAACCAAAAAGAAAAGAAAAAAGATCAGAAAAAATGAAAAGTAGTAGAAAAAAAAAAGTAGAAAAAGATTAAAAATAGAAAAAATAAAAAAAATAAGATAAAATAAAAATCAATGACTACAATTAAACTCAAAATTAAAATTAAATTCAACTTGAAAATAAAATAAAAATAATTTTTTTTCTTCTCGCCCTCAAATGCATTAGCCTGAAACAAACATTGAAATCAAATGCAAATAGCAAAACAATATTGGGAAAAATTTACGTTTTGGCTGGAAGATTTCTTGTGTCTGGGGTTAAGTGAAAGCTGGAAGCATAGATTGGATCTCCATTGCCTTGAAAAAAAATTTGTCAGTTTTCAGAAGGAATTTAGCAAAGAGTTTATGAAAAACTCTTGAATCTTTTACATTAAGCCATAAAATAATTTTAAAAAGTCACAAACACACATGTGCGTATGCAATAGAGAGTCAGTGAGTTATTAAAATACCAGTTCCCATATAATCACCTAAGTTGTTTCAATGAGTGATTGTAATAACTTTTGTTTTTTTTCCTTAAACAAAATTAAAAATAAAATTAAATTTAATATTAAATGTAACATTTATCAACTGAAAGTCTTACTTATCCTTGCTTATAATTTTAGTGTGTATTCAATTGACCAAGTTAGAAAAATGCAGATATTTCGCACCCACGCGAGTACATCTAGAAATGAAATGCCTTTTTATTTTGATATTTTTTTTTATATTAATACTGGCTGGCATTTGACACAATGGGTTCTGATGCATGCAAACAGTTCAGGGAGTGTTAACAAGAAGTGAATTCCTTCATTCCTTCTTTCTCAACAATATCACATGGCATTTCTTCTGGAGAACATCCCAATGTCCTGTTTTTGAAAATTTCAGATAAAAGTTGCCTAAAGATTCCAAAATCCTTGACTTGTTGTTTGGTGAATTGAAGCAGAGTTACTGATTGATGCTACACATTCTTACTTTTGTGTTGGATTATCAAAAATTTACTTGAAGTAAATCACCAAATTTGGATCATCCTCGACTATTTCATCCAACTCGTTGTGACTCATACCTGATTAAGAAAAAAAAATACAAGTGTAAAACAATATACAACAAAACAGTATTACAATATTGATTTTGTTAATACTTTTTATTATTATTGTCTCTTTACAGCATATCCTCTGACTGGCATCTAGGTTTATGACCACATCATGTTAAAACACCAGTTTCCATATAATCACCTAAGTTAAGCAACATCGAGCAAGGCCAGTACCTTGATGGTGACTATTTGGGAGTACCAGAACTGTAAGCTTGGATGCACAGGTGGTGTAATGGATAATGGTTTGGAATTGTTACTCGAAGAACTGTGTTCCAATTCCAGTTGGATTTGTTATATTCACTTACATGCCAATACTCTTGGGAAAGGTATGAATCCACCTCATCTGTTTGCTGAACAGTTCTGTTACTTATTTTGCATTTGACCATGACTACTGACTTCACAGTTCTCAAATTGAAAGTATCTTCTAAAAAATGAACAGGTAATGTTTAACCCATCTGTTGATGATGATGTGTTGATATCAGAATCATTGGCTGAATTACATGAAATGGTAAACGACCTAAATACGGAAAGTCTGAATGCAAATTTAAAAGTGAACAGAAACAAAACAAAAGGGACATTTGTAGGACAGGTGATAACACAGAAATAAGATGATGAATAACAATTGGGTGAAAAGCATTCAATGAAAAGTAATGAGAAATACCTTGTCATTATATTTAAAAGGTAAAGTGTATAATAAATCTATATAATACCAGCTCAAACTGACAGGTATGAAACATGGAAAAATAAGACAAATTCTTTGTTTATGTTAGAATATGGAACTGAGCAGATATGATAATATTGAGAAACTATGAGGAGGACGATTTTGCTTAAAGGCACTATTCAACCTTGACTGATTGGCAAAAGTTCTTCGTAGCTGAGTTGGTTAAAGCAAGTTGGATCTAATTTCTCTCTGTCCAGGGGGCTGCGGGTTTGAATCCTGCTGGAGAGTACATTTTTCTTTAATGAGATTTCTTAAATATTCAGTCTGGTAGACGAAAATATATTGTTTAATAAATAAATGGAGTGTCTACTCAAATATGACTATTCACTAAAAATAATGTTTAATATGATAAAATCTGTTGGATTAATAAATAAAAAATCTATTACTTATTCACTTATGCACAAATACTCTTGGGAAAGGTATGGATTCATCTCTTCTCCTGGCTATGGGTTAAATAGCAGGACAGATTGGTAAGCCTTGGTTTGCAACCAGTCTATTGCAGAAAGAAATGGCAACATACTGTGTGAAATCTTCTGCCTATTCAGTCATGAATCAAAAGAGATGTGATCGCCCAAGCACGTATCATGTAAGATACTTGACTTGAACTTTTTCCCTATGGAATTTCCATAGTTTCTTCTAATTTATGTAATAATGCAAGTATATTGTACACATTTCCTTTTAAAATTGTTAGCAGTAATGTCTTACCTGTTCGGCCACAGATTTCATTGAAGCTGTGAAGCCCATTGAAGTAGGCATAAAGGGGTTGTAACCGGCAGGGAACATTTTGGTTCTGAATTTTGACAGGGTAACGATGGATGCGACGGATGAGACCCTTGATCAAGCCAAACTGGATAAGCTTCCTGTAAGACAATGAAGGATTAAATATAGGTGTGTGGTTCATTGATGGCTATATAATGGGCAGATGGTTTGGAATAATTTTGGCACTAATAATTTAACATCTAAAGTGTGGTCTTCTTTTTTTATTTGCTTACTCTTTCACTGGGATATATTAAGGTTTTTAGTTCAAACAATCCTAAAGATATTTTGGTAACAAAAAAAGCAGCCTTCCAGATTAACATACACATTGATTCCTGTATAGGAAACATTTTTTTTAAAAATCATTTCACCCCAAGTAAGGCTTTAAAGCCACTAAGACAAAAGGGGTTACTGAGAGCAAAAGAAAAACTGGTAGCTGCTATAGAAAATGATGTCCAATCAGTGGTTAATAGCAGAATAGCTTGTAAATTTTAATGCCATCACCCCGCCTCAAAAAAAAAAAAAAAAAAAAATAATGTTACGGTGATGGGAAAGTGATTAAAACTGAGATGCCAAGTCAGGACTGATAATGTTGCAGATTTCTTGTTTGGATTTTGTCAAGAATCTAAAGATACATAGAAGAAACACCAGACCAGATATGGCAGCAATATTCGATGTATGGATGAATGGTAGACTTATAAAGGTGCAAGATAGATTCTGGAAAGAAAAATGGTTTAGCACTTGGCCAAGAAATGCAATTTATAGACTGTTATCCTACTTCCTGTGTATCCATGACTGCAGTTAGGGTCTGCATTGAAATAAGGGCTTAAGATTATGATCTTTCTATTGTTCCAGCAATTATAGGACATTAATTTGGGACAACTGGTTAGTGTTTTGAGGGACAATATAAATTCTTTTATTAAAATTTTATTCATTCTGTAGGAAACTAATTTCTTAGAGAAAATTTTTACTTTTCACCAATAGTAGCAAAATTTATTGAATTAATGGAACACACACACACCAAAACTTAAGCATTTCTTTTTAAACTGGTGAAAAAAAAACTTCAAATGAAGGTTGAAGGACTTAAATTTAAATATTTATATTTATTTTTAAATGTGAAAAATATTTGGATATAATTGTCAGAACTAATTTTGATTTAATAAACAAAACGAGTAAATTATACTTTCTTTTTTATCAATCTTTTGTGAAAAAATTTGAACGAACCATTGGCAAAGAATATTTGTGCGTTAGGCTTTTTTGCTTATCATAAATGATAATACAACGGAGGATTTAAAAAAAAATGATAAAAATGGAAATTTTAGTCACAACCTAAAGCAGGTAAATGAAAATGAAAATATTTTGATAAAAATATTTTTGATTGTGAAGTGTTGAAATGTACTAATATTCTTTGTCTACCACCTGCAATGGATGACTGGAATTGATGGCATTGAAAAAAATCAAGCAACCTCGACATGGTCATAATGACTTTGATTGCTGCAACCGCTATGATACAAATATACAAGGATTGGTCCTTTTACAGTCTCCAACTAAAAATCAGTCAATAAAGATAAGAAATGAATTTGTTGTACATAAACTGAATGCGCATTTATCCTTGAGTATTCAGGGCTTACACATGTTTACACTCGTGCCAAGGGAACAGGGTAATGTATGAAATATAAACCAGGGTACCATACTATAACCAAGTTATATCAGTATTTTGGGGAATTGCAATAATGCCAGTTTCTGCAGTAACAATATGGAGTGGTGAATTTTTCTTTTCCCCGTGCTCTAGTGTTAACTTCACAGTCCACTTTATATATTATATGAAAAAACTTTTATGGTTCATATTGAAGTTGTTATATATATATATAGTAATAATAATAATAATAATGGACTCTCCCGTCAGTTTCAACGTATGAGGATCTGCCAGCTTATTGATTCAGTTATGAAAGTTTATGTGCTAATCTTAAGTGGCATTTAAGACCCGCTAGTGATTTACAAAGGAGACCACATATGGAGCAAGTGTGAGGATTGTGAGATGAGATCACTGTTAGATTGGCTGACCTTTTAGATTGTGCTCTCACTTCTTGAAGATGATTCAGACAAGCAGATTGAAAATTTCTGAGTCCACTAAAACACGTTGATCTCCATTCTACCTGCTCTAAAGCTAAGCGCTCAAGGGTGTTATGTGGTATATTAACTACTGGCAAGTTGCTTTTCAGCTTGTCTTTGTATCTTAGCCATGGGCGTCCTACATTCCTGTAGCCCTGATCTAACTGGCTGTACATTAGGATCTTGGGTATCCTGTCATCAGACATTCTCAAGACATGACCAGTCCAGTGTAACTGATTTATATAACAACTTCAATATAAACCATAAAAAAATAAGTTTCGAAGAAGTTACAACTAGGGGAATAATCTATAACTAAAAAAACCAAAAACATAAACAAAAGCAAAAATTCATGAACATGTGTGTGCAAAAGAATGTTAAATTCATGAATGCACACATGTACAAAATGGATTGAAAAAGACACGGAATAAATTGAAAAAATTGGAAATATCATTTAAAAAACAGAACACCTTGAAGAATGGACATTACTAAGAAACTTCGAAGTTGGGGAAAACAATAACAAAAAAGTGATATTAAAGTTATAATCTTTATATATATATATATATATATATATATATATATATATATATATATATATATATATATATATATATGGGATAATGATATATAAATTTTTATATATTAAGAAAAGATGTATGACAAATTGGAAAAAATTTATGATGCATTTCATCCATTAGGCCTGGGTTTGTGTACATTGTTGGTGTTCATGTGTATGAATGAGAGATGCTGGTAGTTTCAAAATGTTTGAGAGAATTTCTTATTTTTTTGCAATCTATATATAGCATGCTAATAATTATATAGTGGAGTTATAGATGTGCTTTGAAATAAGCTGTGGAGTAAATGCCGGTAAAAAATGAAATTTTGATAGATGCTAATACTGAATGATATTTTTACCTTTCATCAATTCTTAATCCCCTGGGATTAAACTGGCAGCAGATATCACGGACAGTTGTGCCTGGGTTCATTTCACAGTAGAGATGAAAAATATCCTTAAAATCTGGAAGTGAGTGACCTAATAAGAAAGAAAAAGAAAAGTGGTGTGCATAATTAGTCTGAAAATTGAAAAGCCAGGCAATAAAGCCACTAAGATACAAGAGTTACTAAGAATCTGATAAAAATCATTATTAAAGAGATAGGATAACAATAAGAACAGGTTTCAAGGAGACAAAAGATTATAAGAATAAAAAAAAAACAAGTATAAATTCCCTTTTGTCATAGGTTTTATTCCAATTTTAATCATTGCTTACACTATTTACATTGTTCAGATTGTTGTTCTCTTCTTGTCATATTCACGAAGTTTCGTCCGTTGTATGCTCTGGCTTTCTTCATGTGATTGGAATTTTGAATTGAACTCTTTATTTTGTCCACCAGGGTAGATTGTTCTAGTTCCATATGCCATGCTGCTTCCAGATATCTCAGTTTCCCTAAGGACACATGGTCCAGTGGATAAAAGCGTTGGTTCAAGTAATCCAGTGACTTGATCCAAAGAGTTGTGAGTTCAATGCCTGGTCACAGCAGAGGTGAACAAAAACTTGGAGAGATAACTGAAACTGAGAGATCTGGAAGATGCATGGCACGTGGAACTAGAACAATCTACCCCAGTGGATGAAATAAAGGGTTTGGTTAAAAATTCCATTCACCTGAAGAAGGCTGGAACGTACAACAACCGAAACATTGTGAATATGGCAACAAAGATGAAGACAACAGTCTGAACAGTGTAAATAGTTACAATATCTTTTCATTGCTTTGTAAAACAACAAACATTGTTGAGGAGTGATGGTAGTTAAAATAATAGGGGTGTCAAGGGAAAACTCCCCTTTTTTGGCAGGTATGAAGGTTAAAGATTGCCAAGTATCTGATATTGAATAGATTTCTCCCATAAATATAGCATACCTTAAAAACTATATTTTATTATATATGTGTGTGTGACGAAGCTACCATAAATTTCCCAATATAATAGAAACTTAATCATAATTAATATTCATAATACACTAGAAAATAAAAAATTGTCATGTAAAAATTGAGAATAAAATAAAAAAAAATGATAAAATCTAAGTTTGTAATTTTTATTAAACCTTTATCACTCTGTGTGTGACTTCATTTGCTGTACAAAATATTTATCCTGCTACTGAAGGAGACTGATCCCAGAACAATAGTGTGTGAATTTCATAGTTGTGTTGTCATATCCTGCTATGGCAACAGAAAACAACTTTGAGTGAAATTAACAATAAGGTTACTGCAATTGAGAGACGTTGAAAAAGAATGCAGTGGAAAGGGAAGTAATATTAATAATGCAGAATGGTAAAGGTTAACACATTGACTGTCAAGCATTAGATAACATATGATTGGCAGTTTTTATCATGATGCTGACTATGAGTTATCTAATGCTTGGAGCTAATGATTTTACTGATACAAGTCCTACTAATTAACCCATAGCTAGGGAGAGAAGTGGATTTGCTCCTTTCCTAAGGGTATTTGCGCATAAGTGAATATAATGAACCCAACTGGAATTGGAACTCAGCTCTCTAATTTCCAATTACACCTGCACATCCAAGCTTACAGCACCTGCTATTCTCAAGTGGTCACCATTGAGGTACTGACTGTTGTTTAACTTCAGTGATTGTACAAGAACTGGTGTTTCAATGTGATGTGACTGTAAGACCTTTACACTACCTGCACATCCAAGCTTACAGCACTTTGTATTTCCAAGTGGTCACCCATCTAAGTACTGACCAGACTTGATGTTGCTTAACTTCGGTTATCATATGGGAACCAGTGTTTCAATATCACGTGGCTATAAGCCATACCACCTACACATCCAAGCTTACAGCGCCTGGTATACCCAAGTGGTCATCCAGCTAGGTACTGACCAGACTCATTGTTGCTTAACTTCGGTGATCTTACAAGAACTGTTGTTTTAACGGGATATAGCTGTAAGCGCCCATTATTTAAACATAAATTGAAACATGCCTATTCATAAAAATAGTTTCAAATTTTGCATAAGGCTTCCTAACATTTTTTTGTCTTGTTCACAGTTTAATTAAATATGGCCACTCAAAAAAAAAAAAAAAAAAAGATGTGATAAATTGTTGCATTCAAAATGGCTGATAAATGAACAGTTGAAGGTTTGCAGAAAAATTGTTTTTAAAGTGTGAAAAATGTTTCAAGACGAGCAACCAATGTCACCAAATTAATATTTCTTACAACTCTGTAAAAAAGGAAACATGTTCTCTTTCCCTTATCATTCCATTGAAAATACTTGCTGATTACGCTTACCTTGTCTTCGCACATATTTGACGCATTCATCCTGTAAATCTTTGTCTTCAGCCAGTTGATATATTTTGGGTGTTGTTGCATGGACATTTGAATACTGAAAGGAAATTTAATGCAATTATAGAACTTTTGATTTGTTTTACGTTTGAACAGATATTATAGATTGCGGTGGTAGGTGGTTGCCAAATTTATTGTTATTCTAGTGTAGTGATCTCCAAACTTTTTTTCTTTGGGCTGCATTTTTGGAATGAAAATTTGCTAGCACCTTACCAAATTTTATGTGATAAAAAGTACATTTAAAATAAAAAATAGAGAAATAGTTAAAGGGAGATAACTGTGGATTTGAAGTCAGAACATTATCATTGATAACTTTCTCCTTCAATTTGCAGACCTTAGTTACCATATTCTTAAAATACTTGATATAATGCAAAAATATCACAATAATAAAATTGGTCAATAAACTGGGACTCATGCATGCAGTTACAAGTAGTCCATAATAATATTTTAAATTTTGAAATCGTATTTATTTTTGGGATATGAATTTTTGAAACTGTTTCTAAACTTTTGTCTTTTAAACATTTCCATTGCATCTTCTATCCTCTTCTGTCACACCTACAAGGTTCACTGTATTGTTTGCCTTTGATAATTTTGAGAAGAGTCATCAACATTCCAAGAGTTGTCACAACTACTGAAATCATTCTGGTCCTGTTTTGTCTGTTTATGGGAGGTTGATAGGGAGTTCATAGAAGTCTTCAGTTTAATCAGAAAGTTGAAAGGAGAGAATGAAACGTAAAAGATAATTGTCAAACAGTAAACAAAACTTTTTAGTTCAACAACATGGATTCCAGTCTTTTTTCACCATTGTCCTGAAAAATTTTAAACTGTCCTGAAATCAAAATTTTTTTAGCTTAATTATCATTTATAGTTGTTACATATGAAAATGGGCTGAAAAGTTCATAGGCTGACTATAAAGGAGAGATGCTAGAACTGTGAAATCTTGCATGCATTAATTTAAACTTTTTTAAATAAAGGCATTATTTCTCTCCAGGTATGAGGGTGAGCTGAAAAGTTCATAGGCTATGAAGGAGTGATGCTAGAACTGTGAAATCTTGCATGCATTAATTTAAACTTTTCTTAATAAATGCATTATTTCTCTCCAGGTATGAGGGTGAGCTGAAAAGTTCATAGGCTGACTATGAAGGAGTGATGCTAGAACTGTGAAATCTTGTGTGCATTAATTTCATTTCTTCTTATTAATAACTGCATTGTTCATTACCAGATGAAACTGACATCTGACTTTTCAAAGAAGACTTCAAAAGTAACAAGTAGCAACTTCTGTTGACAATGGACAAAATTTGGCATTGTAGTATTATTGAGTACCTGCAGAAAAATGGTTTAACCCCCAGAGACATTCATGCTGACATAGTTGCTACAGTAGGGGATGACACTCCGGCTTTATCAATGGTGCAAAAGTGGGCAGCTGAATTTAGGAGGGGAAGGGAGAGTCTTGAATATGATCCAAGGTCTGGACGTTCTGTGACTGCCACTACCAAGGAAAACATAGATTGTATTCATGACATGATGATGGATGACAGGCAATTGACTATAGATAAAATAGCAAACACTACTAGCATCTCCATGTGAAATAGTTGAGAATATTCTGCACAATGAAATTGGCATGACAAAGGTTTCTCTTTAGTGGATGCAACATCTTTTGACACCTATCAAAAGCACACTGTCTGATCACATCACAGGAAAATCTGATATTATTTGAGGTAGATCTTGTTGGCTTTTTTAATGTTTCCTCACCCAAGATAAGTGTTAGGCTTATCACATCGAGCCAGAGAAAAAGAGACAATCCATGCAGTGGAAACACCTCTATTCATTTGCTCCAAAGAAGGTCAAGGTCAGGTCATCTGCAAGGAAAGGTAATGACCTAATTTTTGGGGGGATGCAAAAGATATTGTGTTTATTAACTATCTTCAAAAGTGCCCCACCATCAATGTAGAGTACTATGCCAACTTGCTGAGGCAGTTATGAAAGGCTATCAAGAACAAATGCTGAGGAAAACTGACATGGGTCGGCATAGGGACAATGCTCCAGCACAGAAGATACAATCTTATTTCCTGTTGCGTTTATAGTAACTATTATTGCTGGGGATAAAATAAATTCTATAAAGATTTTGATATTTAAAAAAAAATTATTTCATGTCTGCTTCTTTAAAAAATTTATTTTTAGAAACCAAGAACACATTTTACGTTTCCTTTAAATATAAACACACTGATATTTTTCTGCGATGATGGAATTTCTATACAAATAAAATGAATTAAAAAAAACCCAAAAAACTTTATCGACAAACATTGCTTATATATAGCAATTTTTAAAAGAGGACAATAGTTCACAAGTAAATAATGTACATCATGATAACAACTCATCCCATTCAGACCAAAACATTCACATTACCAACATTAATAAAGATGAGTTGATAGATAACAACCAGAAGTGTGGTCTTGTTGATCGAGAAAAACATAAACAGAGAAAGATAATTTTTGTATCATTAGTAAAGATGTTGGGAATATTTTTTTTTTCCTTTTCTTTCCCACCCATGACAATTGGACGAACAAAACAATTCTTGAGATTGGCTTTGATTATTTTAGATATATAGCCAAGTCCTTGGCTTTGGGAAATCACCTAAAACAACCAGAATAAGACAAGCTGATAAGGAAAGATTAATTACTGGAAATCCCCTTCTCACCTATGTATTCTAACAGTTTGGATTTGTCCCAAAGACAGTTGTACCAGCCTTTGGAAATGGGCTGAGGCTGGATGTGGAGAAGGGAGAAAGTGATTAGCACCACCTATATGGAGCAATGGTGCAAGATGAGAAATAAAGGGAGTTGGAGTTAAGGGGCAGCTTGAATCCTCTGACCACTCTCAAAAGTGGGCTGGACAACTCCTAAATTTCAAAAATTACTTGAGTAAACATATTTTGAAAATACGGGATTTTAGAAAAGGGTTGATGCTAAAAGTGGGAGATAACCAAATCCCAGACCCTGGTCAACCCCACTCCATATAAGCTGGTGGTTTGGACAACTTACAAAGTCTCCACATTACTGCTGCTGGAATCCACACTGTTTGCCAAGACCTCCTGACCAAGACCTTGTGCCAGCCCTGAAGACCAGAACTTAGAAATTTAAATTAGTACTAACACAGGCTGTAAACTCCAAAAGTGGGAAGGGTTAAAACTGCTGTATACAACAAATCATATATAAACCAAATTGCTGTTACATTTTTAACCAGAGTTAATTTTTTATTGCAAACAATTATTTTTTGTGTAACTCCTCGCCATCGACCTGTTCTTCACTTCAGTTTACTCCATCAGAGATCTTCTCATGTTCTGAGATCAAAAACACGTGCCAGAGGAGTGAATGTTTGCAAAGCAGGTGAATGCCAACTCCATCGAGTGGAACCATGCTCATCATCACAATACCAGCGACAAACCAGCAATGCGTTAGCGAGTAAGGAGTCAGACACATGATAATCATGGTGGTCTGGGTTATACAAGGGTGAAAACTGTATCTGTTGTGGCTTCCATGGAAATACAAGGAGACATTACTTTCAAAATGTTTCCTTATAGAACAATATAAAGTGTTCAAAATATCTGATCAAGTGAGAATACATAGTTTTGGGGCATGCTGTATAATTAAGATTTGTTTATTAATTATAATAATTTAAATTAAGAAAACATTAATACAAGCTTAAATTACATATTTTGTGGGTGTCAAAATGGTCAAACTCAGACTCTGAAAAGTAAATACATTGAATTATTTTTTATTAATTTTGTGAAACTGTTCTGTAAGAAAAGAATGAAACCAGGTTTACCAAATGTAACTTGCTTTTGAATTAACTAAAACTATGCTATGCCTGATAATTATAAATTAGAGTCATCAATTCTTAAGTAATGCTGGTTATAAGAAAGTGTTAGCGGAATGTTAGAAGGTGGGGGGGGGAATAGAATATTCTTACCTGAAATATTGAGATGAGCTTAATGACACCATAATGTCTAGAAAAGAACAAAAAAGAAGAATTGATTAGATATTTTTTTAAATATAAATTAAGCCTACAATTTGTTTTCAAGTTGGTCCAGATTATCATTAAATATTGAAAATTCTTTTACAACAATTTTTGACAAATATGGATTTAGTTCCTTCTTCCCCCAAAAATGAAAAACTTGTAAGAACTAATATTTTTTTTAAGGGTCATCTAAATACTCTCTCTTCTTATCTGATTGTGTGTGTGTGTGTGTGTGTTGTACTGAACACATTACAACTCTAAAAGTTTTCCTCCTGTTTTGAAAATTACAACCAAATCATAAAAACAGAGAAATGTTACATTTAAAAAGATTAGAATATAGAATTATTCATGCCACTATATCATACTTATTATAAAACCCAGGTTGTGTGAGTGTGTGTGTGTGTCTGTATGTTTATATATTGGATCGGATTTCCTACATTTTTCAACAGATTTCAACAAAACTTCACAGGACTACGTAAAATTACCTTGCGGTGGTTCTGACAGCGCCAAAAATTGGAAAAACAATTGTTTTTGCACAAAATCAATTTGAAAACACGATTAAGAGGCATCACGAGAATGAAAGGGGGACAACTCATATTGAGTTATACTTATTATAAAACCCAGGTTGTTTGTGTGTGTGTGTGTGTTCGTTTATATATGGGATCGGATTTCCTACATTTTTCAACCGATTTCAACAAAACTTCACTTTTTTTTTGGCAGGTACTGTTTCTTATTGTCTTGCACACTTTTTTCTTTATTTTTACATTCAGAATGCTTTAAAAATTCCATATAGAAGACAATTGTTTATAATAAAATTCTATTCAATCTATTCAATCGGTAGACTCATAATGATTGAAAACAATGTTTTTGTTTGAGTTTGGGTTTGACCAATTCGTAAAAAAAAAAAAAAAAATTAGTAAGACATGCGTGTCCGTCAACCTTAAACAATAATCTTTGTCAATTTTATTTTTCAGTCTTTATGATGGTCGATACTTGATCTATCTCTTATTGTTACATCCCCAGGCAACGCTGGGCTCTACTGCTAGTAATAAATAAAACAAATACAATGAATTATGCTAACTCTTAGTGAGATATTCTTAATAAATTACATGCGCTAAACAACACATATTTTAAAATAAAAATTATTGTATGCCATGACTTATCACAGATATAAATTGTAAAGGTTTTTAGGTGCCAAAATTGCTGGTTCTTTTTCTGTAGTTTACTGGTGTAAAGGCATTTTAAGCAGGTTGGTTTTTGTCATAAAGTGCTCGATATCAGAAGGTAAGGATAGAGTGTTAATAGAATTAATTGGGAGAAATTTGTCACTTAACTGAGTCGTGTTATTTCAGTCATGCTGACTTCAAAGTTTCATGAGCACATTGTATCAATGCCTTCACTCTTCACAGCTATTGGTTTCTCAGTATTTACCCAAAACCTCCCCACAAGTTGGGATGTGGCTGGTTTTTAATGTGGGGTTTTCTGAGTGTGTATGTTCAGGCAAAAATTCCCTGTAGACTCTGCATGCACAGGTTTGGGCAGCTGTCTACCTCCCCAGACAAGACTGTCCTTTGGCATAGCCTTGTCTGGGTTCCTCTCTGCCCAGAGGCAGAAAGGTCAACAAACATTAAGAAAAAATGTATTCACTGTTGGCTTCTGTGCTGTTACTTCTCAATTTTTTTGTATTTATATATAGTTTGGTGTAATTACCTTTGTGTGGGTGTGTGATTTTTTTTCACTTATTATTGTTATTTATTTTTATTTTTAGGGTTTTTGCTGTTTTTTAAGTGGTGTAAAGTTTCTTGGTGATTGTTTGCTTTCTATTATGCTGACCCCTTTTTGACTGTACTTGCTTTATGTAGGATTGGCCTCTTTTTACTGTATTGAGATGACCTCTTTTTACTGGGTCTATATATATATATATATCTGCTTGTTTTTTACATCATCTTTAGGTACTTGTGCTTCAGTGTGTGTGTGTATGCATTGGTGTTTGAAAAACTAGTGTATAACACCTGCTGTCATGGTGGAAGGGAGAAAATAGGCAAAGAAAAAGCATAGGGTGTAAAAATATATTGGGTGTTAACCAGTGAAGAAAATGAAGTAGCTATTAATTGGTTTGATAATATAGAAGAAGAGAGGAAAGACAGATTCTTGCAATTTGATATTTGGGCTTTATCCATTCTATCTCAGAAAGTCTGCTAGGCAATAGCTTTAGCTCGAGAGCTTGTAGATGTAAGTGAAGAACGGAAGAGTATTATGGACCATTGTCAAAAATCCCTGCTCTTCTACAAAAAACAAGATATGGACAAAACAGGATTAAGAATTTGATGTGGGTATTGGAAGTTATGACAGTGCAGAGGTATTGGAGTTAGCAGTAATTTTTCTGTTATGGAAACTGTCATATAATTACGATAAGAGATGCTCTGTCTAGATTGTTTATGTGTCGAGCACTTAATTTACTGTGTAGGTAGGTGTTTCTCTTTTGGCCATTTTCTTTCTTTCCTTGTTGAGGAATTTTTTATTATAACATTGTGTGTTAGTCACATGAACATTGTTCTTTTTAGTTTTATATATATATATATATATATATATATATATATATATTTTTTTTTATTTCTGGAGTTGCTTTTCTGTTTTTCTTTTTTGAATTTGTAGGTCTGATGAATTGGATTGTATTTATGATTCCAATGGAATAAATTATGACCATGTAATATTAGTGTTTAAGCCTTTTTATTATATCCTTACTCTGTCCTGGATATTGAGTTCTACCTGGATTCTATTCTCTTGGAATTTTTTATTCAAAAAATAACATGTATGTGTATGCACCTATGTATATATATTTATATATTTTGCATATGTGTGTATATTTACCACTAATATTAGCTATATATATATATATATATATATATATATATATAATATTAGTAGTGGTAAATATACATATACAAATATATATATATATATATATATATATAATATTAGTGGTAAATATACACATACATATACAAAATATATAAATATATACATACATGCATACACATACATATATATTTTGTATAAAACAAATTCCAAGAGGATAGACTCCAGGTAGAACTCAATGTCCAGGACAGAGTAAGGATATAATAAAAAGGCTTATATGACAAAGTAGAAAAAGTATTTGTGTGACCTTTAGACTTCATCGGACTAAATTTGTTATGCTGGAGTGACTACACATGCACATGAAAAAGGGATGCTGGGAATTTTTATTTTTATTTTTTTTAAAATCTAGATTTAAATTTTTTTTTCTTTACATCACTTTTGTTATTAGATATCTCACACTGTGATAATCAAAGTTCTGCCAGGAATGGTGAAATATTGTAAAAAAAAAAATATCCCAGCATCCCTTGTTTGTGACATGTTTAGTCACACCAACATAACAAATTTAGCCTGATGAAGTTCTAAATGATGAAATGCACAAAACTTTTCCCACTTTGTCCTCGATATATAACTCCTATGCAAATATACACATAAGTCATGCATTGTTTTTCTCTCCTAATTACTTACTGAAGATTCTGGAGACAGGCTTTTACAAGATTAATCTCAACATCTGCTTCTGCAGCAATGAATGCAACATGGTTGAATCCATCCAAATATGGCAGGATCTGGGAAAACAAAAATTGATCAAATTTCATTTTAATATTCACACTGTTGATTCCAACTTTGACAAGGAATGACTGCAAAACAATTTCCTCCCCCCAATTTATAGGCAGAAGCACACAAATGCATGCTGGAATTTCTTCCAAGCCAATAAAATAGACTGTTTCTTGATTTCTTCTGACTCAGTCCCAGTTTGCCTTGTCTTGAAGCCAGAATGCTATGTTCACCTGTCTGAACATATTCTTGGGTGTCAACTCCAATCCTTAGTTTGTGAACTTTTTGCCATATTAATGTTGCTTTGCCTTATTACTGTTAATTTGCCTTGCATATATTGGTTGCTTGCTTTGTATTATTTTTTGCCCTGTTCTTTTTCTTGTTATTACTTATTGCAAACTTTTGTCAATTCTGTTTGTTGGACAATTCTGTCAATTATTTTACATTTAACCATGGCCACTCACTCTACACACATCAATTGTAATAATTCTTTAAGAAGAGGTTTCTTTTAATGAATCAATAGTAAATGAAATTTTGTCTATGCTGATTCTTTATTGATATTATCTTTTGTTTTGTATGTTGTATGAAATTGATGAAATGTGAAAGATTAAAAAAAAAATAGTTACTTGGTCAAAGAAAGTTTCTTGCCAACAAATCATTTTAGTTGCTTCTTAGGAATGCAGTTACCATATTTTTTTAATCATTTCACCCCAAGCAAGGCAATAAAACCACTAATATGCAAGGGGTTACTGAGTGCAAAAGACTATGAGAAAAAAGAAAAAGATTATTAAGAAGAGAGGACAATTAAAAAACAGGAATTCAGAAGACAGAAGATAATATATTTTCAGCTTAGAGTAGATGAGTTGGGGTGCTGAAAAGTTCTTGGCTTGACCGGCTTCCTAAAATCTAACTACGTGTTTTCTTAGAATAGCTTCTTGCGCAGGAACTTTTTAATACCCACTCAATATTATAATGTGTATTGACTAAATATGACGTTTAAAGTTAAGAAATAACGTTGGATTATGAATAAAAATCTGTTAATCCCTTTGAAATAGACACATGTATGTATATTGTTGTTATTAAGTCCGAGGTCATCATTTGAAGTTGAGAAAGTATCATCTGTCCTGGGTATGATGATAAACTACATCCAGCAGCAAGGCCTCTGATCAAGAGGTTTTCAGGAGCATGGAATAATTTCTTAATTGCTGTTGTTCCCAAGTCCACTTTGATCCAGGGTGGTAGTACCTGTTAGGGTCCCAGCAATGGGCAAATAGTTAATCCCCAAACTGGGGTTGAAAAATTATCAAATATATATAATTTAGTTTTATAGTCAAGGTTAGTTTTAGGGCTAGTGTTGCAAGTGTTGACAAAAAAATTAAACAATTTAAACAAATTTAATATTCAGAATTCTATATCGCCCATCAAAATTTCTAATCACCCACCATTTTCAGTTGAGTTGCTCATCACTCACCTAATTGTTGAATCCACCCACCAGTGGGCGATATTGCTGAGGTTAGGAAACCCTGCATTAAACCTTTTCACTTTCCCACTGCATGTAGCTTCCCTGTAACTTTTCTCTAAATATTTTCATGGTAATTGTTCTGATTAACTTTCCTCTATGGTACCTAGATTTATTATAGTGAAGCTCAGACCTAGAGAAGTGAAAGCCATATTACTTATTTGAAAGAAGATTCTGCAAGGTGATAAGATGCTTAACCAATTCCGAGTTCAGTAGGGTCACTAGTAGTTTAACAAAAGGAGGTAGAAGGTTTATTAGGCAAATAGTTTGAAGGATCAAAGACTGAAACCACAGATGAGGATTTCCAACAAGCAGCAAAGCAAGAGGCAGCAAGACATTTATTGTAGAGTTTAGAGAGAACAGGAGTACATTTCTTATGGACTATTGAAGGGGGATACCATCAGGTGCACATGCTTTATGGGGATCCAGTTTAAAGATAACAAAACCCAGAAAGACTTATATGCATACCATTCAACGGAGACTTGGTTCTAAACGGAAATTCAGCCAACATACGGGTATGTGTGTGTGTGTGTGCACGCAAAATAATGTTTTTTTTTTTCTGAGCTAAGGTGGATAGGATGATGTAGAGCAACTGAGTAGCCACCAGACCTAACACCACCAGACTTTTTCTTGTGGGGTGTACTGAAAGATTTTGTTTACAGACTCAAACTGAAAAGAATTCCTGAATTAAAACAAGCAATTTCTGATAAATTTTCTGAAATTAATGTAGAAATGATGTGTCAAATGATTTGTAGACGTGTTTCTGATATGATTCAGCATTGTTTTAAACATAAACAGAAGCATTTTAAACATGTTAGATAGTTTATTAATCATTATTAATCATGTTTTACATGACAATACTTATAAATTTTCTTAAACTACTGTTTGTTCAATAAAAGTTGATATATAAAAAAAGGGCAGAGGGATGCAGGTTCAATTCCTGCTGAAGGGTGCAATTTATTCTTTAATAAGATTACTCCAGGTAGGTGAAAATAAATAAAAATATAGTGTTTAATAAATAAATAGACCACCTACTCAAATACAAGTATCCACTAAAAAATAACATTTAAAGTGATAAAAATCTGTCAGATTAATAAAAATCCATTCTAAAATTCTCTTTGTTTTCGTTTTGGATATGAAACTGGGTTCAGATATGAAAAACTTTGAAAGATTCTATAACAGGATAAATTTTGTTTGAAAAACATGAAACTGGCTTCACCTGACTATCTGTTTCTTTGTGACCAAGTGGTAAAGTGTACTGAGCTAAACAGTGGCTCCCTCTGCTCCGAGGGACACAGGTTCAATTTTTGATGAAGAGTGCAAGTCTTTCTTTAATAAGATTACTCAAACAAAATAAAAGGTAAAAATAAATGAAAATATACTGTTTAATAAATAAACTGCCTACTCAAATATGAGTATCTGCTAAAAATAACGTTTAATGATAAAAATCTGCCAGATTAATAAAAATCTATTCTAAAAACACTATATATATATAAAAAGCAGTGCATAACCTATCAAACGAGTTTGTGTAAATGGATGGAAGAACAAGGATTAGGTGGGATAGCAAAAAAAAACCCAAAAATCTTTAAGAGCTACAAAGGACAGGAAATTGTGGAGAGTCATGATCGCCCACGTCCTGAAGGAACGTCGCACAATTGGGTTTTCAAGAGCCTGTAAATATTGTTCATGAGACTAATAATACGAAGAGCTGAAAAGATGGTAATACTTTATGTTCTGCAACAAGACGTTTAAGTATTAATTCAAAAGAACCAAGAATAAAATAAAATCACTTATGATTGTGGTATAGGTATTTTCAGATATATTTAAATTCCCAGAATCCATGTTATGCCATTGTCACGCAACACTATAGAGTTTCAAAAAGTTTTAAAAAAATAACATCATGTAAGCATTATATGAAAATTGTTCGAAACTCAAAATTTAAAATCATTTGAAAGATGCAAGACCACCAGAGGGACTTTGAAGTTAATTTATTTGTTTCTTAATGTCTGAAGCTGATCAAAAAAAATTAGAACTGTATCAAGAACTAACACGAAATGTTGACAGTTCCTTCCCACATCCAACACTGATATTCTGAAACTAATTTATCAATATAAAATCTTAATGAAAATGTATAAGACAACTTTTTATTATTTTTAACAAAAGATAATTTGAATGAATAGATCCCCACACAATATACAGGGTGTCCCATAATGTTGGGACACATTTAAAATGCAAGTATCTTGGATTATAAAAAATGCATGCCAAATATGGTGGAGTAATGGATAGTGGCTTGGAGAGCCAAGTTCGAATTCCATTTGAATCCATTACATTCACTTACATCCTAATACCCTTGTGAAAGGTATGAATCTTCTTCTTCTCCCCCAGCTATGGGTAAAATAGCAGGGCAGACTGGGTTCTATAGCCTTGGATGGCAACTGGTCTAGCAGAAAGAAATGGCAACTTACAGCGGGAAAAAATCTGCCTCGTCAGTCATGTATCAAAAGATACATAATTGCCTAAGTGTGTATCACGTATGGTACATAGAGACTGATATACAAGAGTTGAACATATCATCTAAGATTTGAATATTACATCCCTGAGATGGTCACCATTTCAAAGAGAGAGAGAGAGAGAGAGAGAGCGCCCTGAAATAAACTCATCATGTGAATGTGAAGAAACAGCTTACCTGTTTTGTGGTGAGATCCCATTCAGAAATAGAACCTGAATCTTTTACTAAAATAGGAACATCATGGTCAGCCACTGCTGGGGGCATAGCAATTTGTGAGCTGACCTTTAAATGAATTGTAGTTGATTTGCCTGGTAAAGAAAAGCAAAAAAATATAAGTATAAATAGAGATATATCTAGCAATGGGGAAAAAAAAAACTTTTATATCTATACAACATCCTCATTCAGTAATCTACCTTGAGTGGCTCTTGAGCCACTCAAGGTAGTATTGGTGAGTATTACAGGGTTCCCAATCTGACCAATATTGCCCACTGGTGGGTGATTTCAATTGGGTGGGTGATGAGCAACTGAACAGAAAATGGTGGACGATAGGAAATTTTGGTGGGTGATATAAAATTTTGAGTATTAAATTGGTTTAAATTGTTTCATTTTTTTTTTGTCAAAACTTGCAACACTAACCCTAACCATAGAACTAACCTTCACTATAAAACTAAATTATATATATATATATATATATATATATATATATATATATATATATATATATATATATATATATAAAAAAGGCTTAAACACTAATATTCCATGGTCATAATTTATTCCATTGGAATCGTAAATATATATATATATATATATATATATAGTTTTCAATAGTCATGTTTACTTTTGTTTGTTCTTCAATACGGTAGCAGCAGCTGCTGCACAAGTCAGCATTATTTATTACCTCATAAAGTCAGTTTACGAACCAGTAACAAAATTTTACCAAACAATTTTGATATGCTGTTGAATATTTACTATACAGGTGGACGATGACACAACAATGGTTAGAAACACCTGATTTAGTAAAAAACGAAAAAACCATACTGACTGTAGCAAGTCATTTTAGAATTTAAGTGAAATTCTATTAATTCTAAAATTAGAGTAATTGCCAGTCATGATTAGTGCTTCATGGCCAGGGCTTGGCTGAATTGAACAGGTCAAGTGGGGAAGAAAAACAAGACAGAAAAAACAAAGAGGAATATTATTCAAAAGAAATATTGTCTATTAAGAAAGTCTTGAAAGTCAAAGCTAATGCTATTTCACTCATTCAATGTATATAAATTTATAAATTAAAAAGTCAGTATTTCAAACTGCAAATAATTCCTTTAATCTTATAAAATATATGAATTCATGTTGTTTTTTATTGTAAAGAATTAGTTTTAAATGCCTACAGGTTTTACAGAAATAGTTTATGATAGAATTTTTTTTCAATTGAGTTCACTCCAAGCAAGGCAGTAAAGCCACTAAGACACAAGGGCTTACTGGATGTGGAAGAATTAGAAAACAGAAACATTACTAAGGAGCAGGAACAAAGTAAGAGTAATGAGTTGCTACTGATGTCAATAGTTGAATTGCTTAAGATTTAGTCAAGTTTGAGTAAACATGCTTAGAAACGAGTTCATAGTGATGTCAATAGATGAGTTACTTAAGATTCAGTCAAATTTTAGTAGATTAGCTGCTTATAGAAAGAAAAGAAAATTGTGTACTTCATCATATTAAGATTACATTTCACTGTGAAATTCCAGACAAAACAAAGATTGTGTCAATACGCAGACTGAAGCAACTGCAAAATATTTGAGTTACTAAGTAAAGAAAAATTACATTTCCAAAATCTCTGCCTTTTTACACTGAATAATATGTCATCTGATAAAAAAAAATATTAACATGCTCATCTCCCAAGCTATGGATAGTAGATCTATTCCTCACTTAGTGTTCTCTAAATGTAGCCTTGTGTCAACATTGGCCAGAACTGAGAGATATCGATTCATGTCAGCAGATTAAAAATTGTTGATGGTTGAAAACAAATGGTCAACTCACTCATTGGTACATGACACATTCCATATTTGTTGAGAGTTTTCAGAACATCCTGCATTAGTTTTGGAATTTGTTGCCTTGATTGCTCATTGGACAAATAACCGCTTTCCAGCTGAAAGAAATGGTTAAAAGGATAGAATTAGAGAAAACAGAATCACAGACTGGATGAAGAATTCACAGACCAAACAAGTCAGCTCCATGTTTCCCAAATTGTCATTCAGTACAAAAAATTGGGAAAGGCCCAGTGTACATTTCTAAACATACAACAGGTCCCTCTCTCTCTCTACCTTTCATTGACCAGACAAATCCCACCCCTGTTGCTTCGATTATCATTTGCATTGGGGGTGCACAAAAACTGGGAAATGCTTGGTGTACTTCACAACAAAAATGAAAGGTAAAATTAATGCCACATTTGTGAGAAATAAAAAAGGAAATCCTGTTTCCAATACATTTGGTGGTTTATTCAGGGATTCGCTTGGCATGTTCTGGGGGCATGTGTGTAAATAGATGAAACTTGGAAAAACATGCTGCTACTGTCATGACAAACTAATGGATCAGCTGTTCCCTTTGGTAGGTGATGACTGTCCTACTACTTCAGTTGTCAGCTGATATCTTGTTAAAAGGAAACATCTGAAAGATGTTACAGAAACTGTTTTGACAGTCATTGCCTTGACAAAGAAGGTCAGCTGAGTGAAGTGCATAAGAACCATGTCAAGTGACCCTGCCAAAAAAGGTTAGTGGAGTGGAGTTGATGAGTTATTATTTTTAGATGAAAGCTGACAAATAAGGCTGGCTATCTATAAGACAGTGGTTCCTAGCAGCTGCAGATAGAGGCTGCTTGATTGTCACCTGAAAAAAGGCATGCCAGTTAGACCGTTCATCCTCTCACTTTGCCCCATTTGTCTACAGCAGAAGGTTACAACCGAATGAAATTTGCCAACTGCTACAATTTTGTCTTGTGGTTTTATTTTGTGGGTAACAATTTGGCCAAAGAGTTATTTTCCATGTATTAAGCTACAAGCATTCGACTGAAAGAAGCTGCAGCCTGAGAATGAACCTGGTGTCTGGTGTGAGTTGCAAAACTACACTCATTATGATATGCAGGTCACAGCTTGAAACTATTCTCTAATGGGTGGCATCAGAACTCTCTGCCCATTCTATCTGTGATTCTGCTAATATAATTCTGCAACTGGAACTTCTTATTTTCTGGTTTAGAGGCAGTTGATACTGAAAGTTTTATTTATCTATTTACTTTTTTCCTTTTGGAAAAGTGGCTGTCTGCTTTGAAGATATTATTTTGTAGGCTTTACTGTTGGTCATAAAAGATACAAGACACATAAAACTCAGATAAAAGCATTTACGGACAACTTCTATGTGGGTGTCCTGAGGGGGACCCAGAGTGTCATACATGGCCTATATCAATGTTTCTTAAACTATGCTTGTGACACTATTTGGGGTAGAAAATTGAAATGCTTGGGTTGTGAAATTTAAATTCAAACACTTGAATCTGCTGAGGAATTGAGTGACTCAAACTTGAATTTACAAAAAAATCTTTGATTGAATTCTGGATTGGAGTTAAAACTGAATTTTCCACCATTCCTGAAATGGTATTACAGATTCTTTTGTCATTTATCACCACATACCTATGTGAAACGACTTTTTCAGCTTTAACCCTAATTAAAACTAAATATTGTTCAACACTGAAAAATGTAGAGGATGCAGTACATCCAGCTGTATCAAATATTACACCAAGGTTTAATTTGTTATACAGTAAAAAACAAGCACATCTGTCGCATTGATTTTTACTTTGGTTTATTTTTTTACTTTGGTTTTTTTTTTTTTTACTTTGGTTTATTTATTTTTTTTGGAGTTTATTTTTTTATTTTTTTTACCTTGGCTTATTTTTTTACTTTGCTTCATTTTTTTTTTTCTTACTTTGCTTCATTTTTTTTTTTCTTACTTTGCTTCATTTTTTTTTTCTTACTTTGCTTCATTTTTTTTACTTTGCTTCATTTTTTTTTTTCTTACTTTGCTTCATTTTTTTTTTTTTCTTACTTTGCTTCATTTTTTTTACTTTGCTTCATTTTTTTTTTCTTACTTTGCTTCATTTTTTTTACTTTGCTTCATTTTTTTTTTTCTTACTTTGCTTCATTTTTTTTACTTTGGTTTATTTTTTTTTTACTTTGGTTTATACTTTGTTTTATTCTTTTTTACTTTGGTTTATTTATTTTTTTGGAGTTTATTTTTTTTTTTTTTTTTTTACTTTGGTTTATTTTTTTTTTTTGGAGATTATTTTTTTTTTAATTTGGTTTATTTTTGTACTTGAAACAAATCCTAAAACTACTTTTATTTTGACAAATAATATTACTTTTTCATATGTATATTGTTCAGCAAAAAAAAAATAAATAAATGATTTATGTATTTATTCATATGTTTTATTTCATATCTAATACCTGATGTCGTGAAAAATCTCATGATGAAAAATGGAGTCATGACTGAAAAAAGTTTAAGAAATTGCTGTTCTATATTATCATTCTGCTTGTTTGCATGTATGACTGTTACTTGGATCAGAGTAGTATCTGTTCTTGGATAAGTATTTGCCTAACTTCTGAGTTAGAATCAGTTATCCTGATTTGACCTTTGTTCCTGATTGCCTATGTCCTGGAGAAACATAAGGATGTAGACGATCATGGCACTCCTCAACTTCCTATTTTTCATAGCTCTGAGCATCTGAAAATAGTTGGAGGATACAAGTTTGTTGTTTTCTTATCCCCCTCACTCCCTGTTTTCCCATCCATTTTACAGAATATAGTTATGTAGGTTCTAAATGTTACCCTTTACCTTTTCCTGACCTTGTCCTGTGAAAATCAATGACTTGTGATAGCACAATGACTGATGGCTTCAAATCAAATCCACCAACCCAATTTCAATCATAAGACTTGGGTCCACTCACAATATGATTTTCAGGTACTTTTCAAAGGTATCACACACTGGCATCACCTCTCCAGACTTATAACGCCAAGAAGTCACCTTCCCAACTAATTGACCAAGGTGAGATTCAAACCTGGTCGGAAAGCAAATGTTCCCATATTTTGATAAAATTCAATTTTGATGTGTTTCACCAATAAGCCAATTTCATCTGAAAAAGAGTTTTATTTAAAAAAAAAAAATCTGGATTAATGAGACAGAATTAAACAACAGTGGTCCTCCCTTACAGGTTGTTTGCATATGGGTGTCATCTTATATATGCATTTGCAAGTAAAGTTTGTATGAGAATCCAATGGTAAATATATAATACAATTTGAAAAATATTGATTTTGATATATTTCTCCAATGAATTGGAGAAACTGATTTTATTTCACAAAATCTACATTCGTGAGACAGAACATGATTCATGTTAAGCATATGAATGCATAATTTTTATTTTAACTGTATTGTTTTAGAAATAATTTTTCATGTCTTTAAATATTTTGGATGAAGGTAAGTGAATACATTAACTCACCTCAAGTTGTGTCAGGTAGGAAGCAAGTTTCTTGACAACGGGTTCATAATCTGTTGTGCATGCTTGTTGGTCAAAGACAAAGCAGAGATTAAACATGAGTGCATTGCGAGCATACTTTCGACCTGGAATACGTACTGGGTAACCAAGGATTTTGTGACCAAGAGCATTTCTGAAACATTGGAAAAAAAAAAAAAAAAAAGAATTTTATTTTAGAATACACAAAACAAAAGTCTTCATTTTCATGTCTTAGTCAGGAGATTCTCCACCACTCCATTGGCCATATAAAAAAAAAGGTTGTCAGCAGTTACTTTGCACCCCCACACCCTCACTGGTTAGTATGATCAGAAGGAATATTTTGATGCATTTTTTAACAAATCCTACACATATTATGGCTTACATAAATAAATAACAGTAGAACTCCCCAAATCTGAACATAGCATAATCTAGACTTCTTTGAATTAAACTTCAATTTGGACTCACCTTCAAATCCAAACTTTTGTATTGACATATATATGAAGCCTTTTCTTCCTTGAATCAGAACAGTACCCTCAATACCGATATACAATAACACTCCCCAAATCCAAACATAGCATCGTCTAGACTTTCTCAAATTAGACTTCCTCAAATTTGGACTCATCTTCAAATCCAAACTTTTGTATTGACATAAATATGAAGCTTTTTCTTCCTTGAATCAGAACAGTACCCTCAATGCTGATATACAATAGCAATTCACAAATCTGAACATAGCATAATCTAGACTTCCTTGAATTTTGACTCCTCCTTCAAATCCAAACTTTTGTATTGACATAAATATGAAGCTTAAATCAGAACAGAGCCCTCAATACCAAACATCTTGGATGTTCAGTTTAGAAGAGTTATACTGTATATCCTTATTTTTGACTTTATTTACAGATTGTAATTGTTTTTGAATAAGATATTTCATAAAGTGACTTAGTTTTTCACAAATTACAATATTTGTTTAACACAAATTTTTTCATTACTATTGGTTGTCAATTATTTTCTGTACATTTATTTATTCAATCTAAACTTTAAATAAAAATGAATCAATGTTACAAACTACCTTTTGTATCCTAAATTTTAAAACTTAAAAATTTTAAGCTTGCCACAACAGCCTTCTTCCTCAAATCTGAACAGTATCCTCAATAAGAATAACCAAAATGAAGGTCAGAAATGGAACGGTAATTTTTATAACATGAACAACATACAAGATTCACCAGCAGTGTTTAGTAAGTACTCCACTGCTAGAGGTGAACTTGTGGTGAATCCCCCAATGCAGTATATTCTAGTGTATTTATGAGGCTTGGAACACACCCATTATACTCCATAGGTATGGTATAACAGTTTTCCTATTTGAATTTTCTTATGAATCATAATTCTTAAGTTAGATGATTGAATAAACGCATTGCAAGTTGCACAACTATAAAATAGCTGTAAAAATTCTCCTAATGCATTGTTAAATATTTGAGCTCAACAACTAAATACTGCAATGACAATCATAAATATGAATGCAGGTCATTATTTAGAGAAGTAATAGGATATAAATTAAAAGATTCAAACTGACAAAGTTTTTCATTTCTTTGAAGCAGACATTAAATGCAAGGCAGTCTTATCGCCTCCTCTAACTTCTTCCTTGAACACTTTTTTCTCACTAAAACCAAACAATATAACTGATATATCTTTTTCTTGTTTTCCCTCACAATCAAAATGGAATTATTTATCTGAGATAATGCCATATAGCTTTATTACTTTAAATGTTTGTTTTATATATATATATATATATATATATATATATATATATATATCGTGGACTCTCCCATCATAGATTGACATGGACCATCAACTGCGCCTACCAGGGATCCTAAGCATGGCTAGGCGGGGGAAGGAAGTGAGAACTCTCTCACAGACTTGCCTTCATCAGGATACCTCACCCCACGACGTATGAGGGTCAGGCCACTCAGATCCTAGGAAACAACCACACTTTTTGAAGAGCCGAATACAGACACCAAGTGCACCAAAGGTCCCCAAACAACCCTCCTCAGGTTTTGAATTCAGACTTGTCCTTCTAGACCAGTTGCCATCCAAGGCTATAGAACCCAATCTATCCTGCTATTTACCCATAACTGGGGGAAGAAGAAGAGGATTTATACCTTTCCCAAGGGTATCAGCACGTAAGTGAACGTAATGGATTTGACTGGAATTCGAACTCAGCACTCCGATTCCTATATATATATATATATATATATATATATACATATAAAATGTTACAAATGTTGTCTACTTATTTTGACCATGATCAAAATAAGCAGACATAACATTTGTAACTTATTCAATCAGATATACCTAAAAGGGAATTTTCTGCCTATATGTATATATATATATATAAAGCCTTCAATGTCTCATTTAATGCCAAACAAAATGAATGAATCAATAATTTCTGAATTGAAGAGTTTTTATTATTTATATTCAGATTAATGTCCTCGTCTTTGTTGTTGTTATAATGCATGATAAAACTCGTTGGCATCTTCTATTGGGAACATAAAAAAATGAGTTTGTGCAGAAAAGGGTTGAAAGTTTTATGGGCCACCAGAAACCTCTTCTTGCCACTATCAAACAGAGAAAAATGGCATGGTTTGGACGCATTAGAAGGGCATGACAGCCTGTTCAAGACCATCATGCAAGGCACCTTTGAAGGTGGACAAGGGATAGAACGACAATGTAAAAACTGGTTGGACAATGTCAAAACAATGGACAGATTTGCTGATGACTACTGTCGATAGACCATTGTGGAGGAAATTTAGTGTGGCTTCTGCATTTGAGACCCCCTCCCCCACCACCACCATATGATTACAAAAGTCAAGGGGATGATGATGATGGTGATGATGATGGTAACAATATTATGGACATTCTACTCTATTCCCTTAATAAAGTTAATTTAATAGATTAAATAAAGGGTTCAATTTGAAATTCCCAGAAGCTTACCCAGATCAATAGACACCTGTAAACAGATACCTTCAAGAGCACAATTGCAGCTAATAACAGCAAAGATGAGGATATTAGTCAAAATATAAATAATTTAAATAATAAAAAAAAAAAAATGACTGAAGTCTTATAATACTTACACTGTGATATCGCTGTCATGGAGTTCCTTTTTTGGAATAATGTAAATGTGAAGTGCATCAAAAGTTCCTTTGTTGATGAGATCTTCAGGAATCTAGAAAAGATGAATCAAGACATTTTTTATTGTTACTTCTTTTTAATAAGAACATTAGGTTAAAGGTTAAAAAAAAAAATGGTTTCTGGATTATTCCTTGGGACAATAACTTAGTGGATTAAAGTGTTGTTTTGTGAAATTGGCAGCATAGTATATACGAGTTCAAACCCTGGGCCAGGTAGTACAAATTTAGACACCCTGGAAACAGTGCGAGCACTATTAAAAAGATGAGATATCTCTAATCTATGTCCATAGATTAAATAAAGGGTTCAGTTTGAAATTCCCCGAAGGTTACCTGAAGACACCTGAAGATAGACAAAAGATTGTGATAATCACAAGGATGAGGACATTAGTCTGATTGTAAATAATGATAACTCCTCATCCCAGAAAATATAATGGCATTACTTTCTATACCTCCATATTTAGGAGAGTTCATTTTCAAACTTCTTTTTAGATTTTCCATCCTCTTTTTTATCTTATCTTCTCACATCTGATAATGTCCACTTTGACATAGTTATGGAATTTAAAGGTTGTGTGTTAGGGCACTGTAGGTGTGTGCATATACTCATGTAAACAATTAAGAAGAAGCTGTACTGGATATGATGATAAACTACATCCAGCAGCAAGGCCTCTAATTGGGAGGTTTTGAGGAGCATGGAACCACCTCTTAATTGCTGTTGTTCCCTGGTTCACCCTGACCCGGGGTAGGAGAACCAGTTAGGGTGCCAGTTATAGGCAAATAGTTAACCTCCCAAACTGGGGTCAAAACACTATGAATGTATAAAAAATACATTTTATCATAAAAATACCAGCAATACATAGTTGGAGATTATAGCTATCAGGGAAGCAAATAAGAGGAAGGGAGTTCCACAGATGGGAAGTGTGAGACTTGAAGCTATTTTAGCTGTCTCTTGTACTCCAATGGCTTCATGTTTCGCACTTCTTGTCTGTGGAACTCCCTTCCTTTTATTTGCTTCCCTGATAGCTATAATCTCCAACTATGTATCGTTGGTATTTTTATGATAAAATGTATTTTTATACATTGCAAATGCAATGTCAATCGACATCTCCAGATGCAGTGATTTATTCTCTGTCCTTATCATCCTTTCCTCTTTCACGCCTCTTTACTTTTCTGTAAACCCTGTGTGCTAGTGGCACTTTCGCCTTGCTTGGTGTGAAAAGCTTAAAAAAAAAAAAAAAAATTAAAAAAAATAAATAAATAAAAATTACGTTTTGTTAAAAAATAAAAATTACCAGTAGTATATTTTTGTAATAAAAAAAAACATTTTTTGTTAAAAAATAAAAATTACCAGTAGTAAATTAAAAAAAAAAAAAAAAAAAAAATTACCAGAAATACATTCTTGAAAAAAATTTATTACCATTAATACATTTTTGTAAAAAAAAAAAAATATTAATGCACCCAGAAAAATAAAATTCAGCAACTCCCATAAGGAGTTGATATGCCACTAAACAAACAGCAACAATTAGGAAGACGCATATAAAATCTTGGGTTTCTACTAGAGATCATTTATTCTCTTCTTTTTTTTTTCTTTTTTTTTTTTTTAAAAATATATAAACTGTGGTGAAACAAAGTTCTCAGTGTCTCTCAGGTATGCCCATTTTGGTCCAGAAGTTAGGGTAAGTAAGGATAAGATTTATTATAATGGTTAAGCTCAAGTCAGTCTTCCACTGAGTTAGAATGATCAAAGAAAGGTTGTAATTACTTTATCAGTGGAGGTTTAAGTATGTTTATAATCATTGAGCTCAAGTCAGCCTTGTGCTGAGTTGGAATGACCAAAGTAAAATTTGTGCTTACTTCATTGGTTGAGTTTTGACAAAACACGTGCAAACGCTATATGTTGGAGAGAGAATTCAGTCATCAGTTGACTGGTGGAAAAGAGATGCTAGTTAGTGGAGATGTCTTCATACACATGCTTGTTACATCTTGGTGCAAGATGGAGAAAAGAAGAGGAAGAGGAAGGAAATGCTTGTCTTCTTACTGAACTTATCCAGCTCCACCTAATGGGCATTTGGCAAAGCCAAGTGGGTAATAAAATTTCCAGTTCCTTTATTAATAATGGGAAAATGTATTTCTTATCTTTATTATCATTATTTTATACATTGATTTTATTTCATTTTCCCATATAATATTGCTACTGACATTGTGGATTTAATCCCACAAGCTACCATTTCAACAATAGCTTAACGAACACTATGCAAACTGTTTCTTACTCAGTTCCTTATCACAAGTGTATTATTTTTGTGTTGGACCTTTTGGAGTTTTAAATAAAAACAGTATTATTCTTTGGGTTATTCTGTTCAAACTCCAAATCCGCATTGAATTCTTGTTGTTCCTGAAATAAAAGGTACAGAAGGAAGGAGGCAGAGACACTGGAAATGGATTTAGGAACTTTACTATAGTAACAACGGTCTATTGAAGGGAAATGCCTTTCTGAGCAAAAGACTTACTTGTTGAAAGTTCAAGGGAAAAGAGAATGATTTTTCTCATTTGTCTTTGGCACCAGGAAGCCCCTCTTTATTCATGCATGCACCATTAGTTCTTCCTGTCAGGGAGCATCCTAGGAGATTCTTCTTTTTTCTTTGTATTTCTTTTATCTTATTGTTTTGTTTTTCATTTTTTATTTTATTTTATCAATTATACAATCCCCACAACCTTCAAACAGTTAAAAGTTGTTATTATCAAAACCTATATTGCTTTTGAAATTCTACATTTATTCTGTTCCTTCTCAACGGTCCAGCTCAGCTTGTTTAGTTAGGTTTAAAAACTATCTTGATTCTTGACCAATTAAAGCCCACTGAAAAGTCTGATATTAATTATAAAAATAAACTTCTAATATTGATTATAAAAATAAAAATCGTGTATTAATTATAGATTTCTAAACAAAAAAAAAAAAATCCAATATCAATCTCTCTCTCTCTCTGTAACACATTAATGCCCACGGTCTCCCTGAATGGCCAGGCGGTACCTTTTCCAGCCTTTTTGAATTCGTCATGGACTGTTGGCATTAGTAGATTAAAAAAGAAACCACAATTCAATAATCCTACACCCCCAAAAGAAAAAATAGATCAATAAAATGTTTAAACATTTCCCAAGAAGTTTATTTTTCTTTTAAGGTGGACAGCAGAAGATTTTGACACCTGAAGAGCGAAAAAGATGAAAACATTTTGTATCGTACTGATGATGCAAAAAAATAAACAACAAATCCGCTCCTATTTCCGCTTCCAGCCTTCTGGAATGATTAGATTTTCAATTTTTATTATAGAGATGTTTTTAAAACGATTTTTTTCACCTCTCAATACCCCTAAAAAAGCTTCAAAGATATCACAAAAATAAATTACTACTGATAAAAATTGATCTCTCAAACTGTGACGTTAAGTAAGAAGACTTATCACTCAGTCATTTCTGGAAGAGGAAGACTTTTGAAAATATTCAATAAGTGTACTGTGTAGAATTACCTAAAAAGGCCTTAAAAAACTTAGAGATTTAAAGAGCAGATCTGAAACCAAGTCGGTATACTAATTTTTTTTTGTTTTTTTATCATAATTTTTTAATTTTTATGTGAACTGTAGGTCAAAATAACGTCCACGTTAAATTTATCGTAGTCTAAAAAAAACAAAACAAATGACAATATCAACACTCAAAGTTTTGCATTTTGGAGATCACATAAGAAGATTAAATGATAACATAAGAACAGAAAAAAAAATTGTCCCAGAATTTTAGATTTTTAAGTGTAATTTTTTTGACAGCTTTTTTTCTTCTCATAATCTGACGTTCATTTTCTGATGTTAAAAACAAACAAAAAATAAAGAATTTCTGTCTTCTTTTTTATTATTTATTTGTAAACCTAAAAAGAAAACTGATTTTTATTTTTAATTCATTAATTATAGATTATGGATTGGAGGACACCTTCTCCCCCACATTTTTTTTGTTCAATTTTTAATTTATTGTTTCATTTTTTTTTTTCAGGTTGCTAGTTTATCCTACAAAGCAACGCATAATAACCCTAATCCACCTAAAACCGATTTAATGATCTAAATTTCGATAAATTAAATAAAAGAACGACCCCCTTCCAGAAAAGTACAATGTTTTTTACTTATTTGTTTACTAAATTACACACGACGTTTGTAGTTTTTAAATGTAACCCTTGAAGTAGAGCCTCTCCCAAATCACAGTAAATTATAAATTAAGAAAACATATGATCTGAAAAAAAATGACAATATTTATCGAGATAAGATAAAGTCAAATAATAAACTGCACTAAATTACTCATTTTTTGTAAAAAGTAAACTTTACATCTTATTGAATTTGTAACACGAACTTACCTGATAGGCTATGATCGGTCCTTGTGTCGGATGGAATTCGCAATAAAAAATTCCTTTAATTTTATCTGATGTAGCCATATTTTTATTCATTGAATTGTTGGTGCAATCATTAGGTAATCAGGAGAGCTGAAAAAAATCCAGGTTTTTATAATAAAAATATTAATTAATCAGTTTGTCTTTTAAGCGACAATGACGGAGAATTGACGACAATCACATGCGGTGTGGTTAGCGGTGTGATGGAATTATCTCCCCTTGGATATAAGCTCAAAGAAAAGAAAAAAAAACTTGTTTCGATACTTCGGTCGACTTATCAATTATTTTGAGATAGCATTTTTAAGGGCAATGATGATAAAGATATCCAGTCTGAGAACAATAAATTAAATATCGAATGGACAACCTAATTATTGTAGTCTGATTGCCAATACAACGACTACGTTAGAGAAGGCACTTTGACTTCTGAATATTTAAATTTTTTTTTTGTTGACTACCACTGCCATACTACTACTAAAAACAAAACTGTCAATTTTGTGAGAAGTTACTTTAAAATAAAGATTATTTAATTTTTGCAATGTTTTCTTAGCGATGTGGTCGTGGGAAGTGTAAAAAGCACCAATCTTGTAAGTAGAGAAAGTTAAAAAGCTACTACTCACTAAGAAGAGAATTTTAGACTGTCATCAACGAGGGGTTTGAAGGTAAATGAAGCAAGTGCGTCCAAATCATTTATCCGAAAAGTTTTTTTTTAATTTTTTTTTTTTATATATATACCAAAAGACTTGAAAAAAAAAATCTGTGCCGGTCATTTTTTTTTTTTTTCGCTTCTTGTGTTTCTTTCAATGCCTTTTTAAAACTTTGGAAAAAAAACAAAACAAAAAAAAAAAAAAAAAAAAACAAAAAAAAACAAAAAACAAAACAAAACAAAAAAAACAAAACAAAAAAAACAAAAAAACAAAACGTCTGTGAACCTTTATTTACCTTTATGATTTTTTTGAAAATTAATTAATTTTTTTTCCTTTAAATAATCGAACTAATTAATAATACTGTGCAATTTTTAAAATTATCACTGAGTGTTACAGTTTTTCCAAAAATAATTTTATGATTAAATTAAGGCGCTATTTCACTTTGGCACCACCCGTTGTTTAGGGTTTAGGGTTTAACAAACATTGATTTTGTTTCTCAAGTTTTATATTTTAATTTAAATCTAAATATTATAATTAACAATAACAAACAACTGTTTCCAGACTGTTGTACCTAGGGTAGCCCATTGCTGAATGACGGAGAGCAACAGGGGGGGGGGCGAAAGTGTAATAGTGCCGAAATTAATACTACAGTGTAACCCGGATATAAGAGAATTGTCGGGACCGGAGAAGTCTCTTATATCCGGGTTTCTCTTATATCCGGGCTTGGTCTATTTTATATACATTAACACAGGCTCTAATTTGGGACCAGAGAAAATCTCTCTTATATCCGAGTTTCTCTTATATCCGGGTCTCTTATATCCGGGTTGCACTGTAATTTGCAAGAACATTTAATTTTATATTTATTTATTTATCTATTATGCAGTGTTACATAGAACATGCACATACCCACTACAAAACTGTACGTCTTGTGTCAACATTAAAAAATTTTTTTAACGTTTCATCAGGTGGGAAATCACGACTTTACTGTAGCAACGTGATGTGTGTGTTGGGGGGTTTGGTGGATGGTTGGGTTGGTGGTTTGGGTTTGGGTTTGGGTTTGGCTGGGTGGGTGGGTGGCTTTTGGGTGTCCTCGGCGTGGTTTAATGGTGAGCAAGCTTGTCTCGCTAGATCAGTTATGACTGAAAAAAAAGTGAGTTCGATCCTTACTGGGTGACCCATACTTTTTTCGACCTTGTGCTACACTTAGAAAATATACATATATATTGCTAAAGTGATCTTTAAGATCAGTTTTTTTTTTATTTATGCAAGAATTACCATTAATCTTGATGTTTCGATCGCGTTTACTTGATGATGAAATTATATCAAGCACCGACTCGACAGTTCTTTTTTTTTTATTTAACTGAATCTAATGTGGGCGAGTGAAAATAGGCCGAAGGAGTTATTTGCCCTTGGTCAGTTGTCATTTCGTTTGAGGGGAAGCTACTGTTTTTCTATTGTTGCTAATGTCAGCAATTTTCTCTGGAAATGTCATTACGTTGCTGAGTGACTGACTTAAATACCAAAGGCAAAAATCGCCCGAGAAGGTTCTGATGGAACAAATCAAAACGATTTATCGGTGACTTACTGTTCTTCTCTTCATGATGATTCATCTGGTTGTCGTCCTTTTTACATCATTTATTATTTATATAGCAAAACCCGGCAGCAGTAAGTGAAATGAACATGCTTTTTTGGGGTGGGCTTCTTATATAGGACATTTTTTTTTTTTTTAGCACTTCGACGTGGTGCTGGTTAGAAGGCTTGTTTCACTATCAATTACTACTGAGCAGTGAGTTCGATCCTCATTAAGTGCTCCATACTTTCAGCCTTGTACCACGTTTAAGCTTCGCTTAAATCAAAATCACTAACTTAACACATAACTCGTGTTAAAAAAAAAAATACTTTGTAATCCACCCGCCTTTTTTGTTGTTGAATTTAGATATTTTTTATAAAAAGAATATGTTTAATAAATTAATTTTTCAAACGTGGGTGAAAAAAAATAAAACTATGAATAACCGTTAAATTTTTGACATGATCGATTCTCTGTCAATTTTGCTGACTCAAAAAAACAAACAAACAAAAAAAAGATTTTTAACGAAAATTTCGGACGTGCTAGGAATGATTAAATGTAAAAAAATACCCTAAAAATACTTGGCTTTCCTTTCCTTTTGATAAATAACATAAGTATTTTTAATTATTTATAGTAAAAAAATATTTTCATCAAGTTTAAGGCCCACTTTCATCATTCTATGCTCTTTTTTAGAAATTTTTTTTAGAGGTAATAAAACAACGGGTGGAATTCTTGTTGAAAATATTTTTGCTTGGTTTTAAACGAGAAATTAAAAGCAACTAGGGCGAAACTTCAGTTCAATGTCACTCTCACTTAACGATAATTAAAAGCTTTTTTTTAATTATCTGTTTTGTAGTTTTGACATCATGAAAAAAAATATTACTTCAGTTTAAAATGTGGAGTATCGATTTTTCTGAGTATCTTGCTTGTTTTATTTTTTAACTTAAAGGCAAGTTGGTTATGAAGAGATTGAAAAAAAAATCATACCAACAGACAGAAACATTGATTTGAGATTTAAGTAAATTAGAAATTGGCCACTCCCTAAAATTACATCAAACTATTAAAACTGTCACAGTGAAGACAGACGATAGTTACGGTTAATTTATTTAATTTTTTGAGACGTTCTATGTTTTCTCGTCACAGATTTTCCACCCACTTTAATTGATATGTTTGTTTCTAAGTTAGTTTCTAACTTCTTCATAGCAGACGAAATTTTAAGAACAAACCTAAGAAGATTGAACTTCAGTAGACATTGTTAGCTATTTAAGTTGTTTTGGGCATTTTTGTGTATACGGGTAAAAAAATAAAAAATCCTGATAAACTTTGTTGGTGTGGCTGTCAGTGGTAGAATCATTCTTTTCAGTCTCCTTTCCAGGCAGATGGTTTAAAAATTACGCCATAACTGAAAACTTTCCACATACAGTCGTTGAGTGACGATTATAAAACTAAAAATAAACAAGATGTTTTACTTATCATTCTGTATTATTTATTTAGAAACACGATGAGAAATATTTTTCGTTATGAATACTACACAATCTACAGAAAGAGTCACCAGTAATTCATTTCAAATGCATTGTTGAGATTAACTTTAAAAATAAAATTCAAGCCACTTTTTCTGCTACTCAAAAAAAAAAAAAAAAAAAAATATAAAGAAAAAATGTCGGTCTGACTTTTACAATGAAAAATATTAATTATTTTTTATGATAATCATTTTTCTTTCTCCATCCCTATCTACAGAAGACATCATTCCATAAAAACGGTACTTGTTAGAAAGTAAAGTCCCACGAAGTCACTTGACTTGGGCCAAGGAAGAAGTGGGATATGGTGACTCGTGCGCTGACACCATAATCAGGATTGTAATCATGGTCCCGAAAGTATTTTTTTCGTCATATATGGACATAAATAAAATAAAAACGCCTGTGGCCATATAGTGTGTTGAGTTTGGGACGGCCTTTAAGTAGGGATGGGGACAGATAATAAAATTTTTTATTTTTTTTTTATGTGAATTAGAATTCTCTAACCTTCAGTTTTTATGTGGTAAATGTTATTTCAGTAAAAAAAAAAAATAGTTAAAGTATTTTTCAAGTTTTATTGAATTATTTTTGGTAAGATTCGTGACGAATTTTCAGAATGTTGACACTTGATGCTGCATAAATATTTTACTGAAATAACATCTTCAGGGATTTTTCTTTATACTTATTTTTTTGTTTATGAAGGTAAAAGAATCGACACCACCCCTGTTTTTAAAATATTTTTCAAAAATCAGGGAATTATTCGATTCAAACAAAATTTTCAGGACTTAATTATTGAGCTAAAATAGCCTACCCAGTAAAAAATATTTAAAAAAAAAAAATTTTTTGGTGGGTATATTTCGTCCCCATTTTCGAAATCACGTATGCACTTTTTAATTTGGGTGGGTGGGGGGTTGTTCGTCTAAAAACACTTTTTAAATTTTTACGCTACTACAGTTAAAAAGAATTCCCTGAAGGTATTATTTCAGTGAAAAAATTTATGCCATATTGAGTGTGAACATAGGGACAATCTTGCCAAAAACAATTCAATAAAATCCCCAAAATGACTTTTTTTAACAACATAGATGAGGATACTAGTTTGAGTGTAACTGTAAATGAACTCCTTATTCAAGAAATTCAGATAGAAATAACATAGCATTAACAAAGTTAATAGATATAGATAAACAACAAAGATAAGGATATTAATGATTAATCTGAATGTAAATAACAATAATTCCTCATCAAAGAAATTCAGACATAAATCGTCAGAGATAGATAGATATGAGCAGACTGAAATATAGATAACAAAAAGATGAGGATACTCGTCTTAATGTAAATAACAAAAACTCTTTATCCAAGAAATTTAGACAGAAATCATGTAGTTGGCATTGATAGATACGAGTAGACCAAAATAAATATGTGCAGAATGAGATAGATAGATATGAGCAAACCGAAATAGATAAGTAACAAGAGATGAGGATATTAGTCTGCATGTAAATAATGATAATTCCTCACCCCAGAAATTCAGGCAGAAATGTTCTTGTTATTTCTATCATCAAAAAACTTATTTTTGAAGCTCTCAGTTTGTTCACAGGTACTGTAGGTACTCATTTATTTATGTTATTATTCATCTCAATGAGGTAATGTTCTATTGAATGCTGTAGAATTATTTTTTAGGGCTCTGTTTAAGGTGCCTCCAAAGCTTTCCTCGTATGATTCACCCCAGATCATACCATATCCTAAAACTTCACGTTTACTTGGAACAATTTTAAAACATGAGAATTTCCTATGGAGAAGTAATTGAGATGAAATTGTCATATGGTTTCACACAACTTTTTAATAAAACTACTATTTAATGAATCCGATTTCATTGTATCTCCTAGGATGATTAACATTTGCAAAATTAACATTGTGGAACAAGTCACAGCAAAAAAAGTAAGGAGACTGATTAATTAGATGTACTACATATAATGAGAAGTGCAACTGGTAATGTTGAGAGCCATAATTATTTAAAAGCTATAAATTGCTGTTTTAATTGTTCTGTGTGCTCTTTCTATTAAACCATTAGACTCTGGTGGGTGGTAGCCAGGTGTTCTCAATCTATGAAAATCAGGAATTGTTGTTAGTTTTAAAAACAACTTACTGCCAAATTCCACTGTCACAACATGGCATGGAATTTAATATCTTGTAATTCATGTATTTATAAAAGCTTTGGGTATTGATTGTGTGGCAATTTCAATTAATGTTTGAATCTTAGTTCAAAGTGATGAATGATCTATGCAGTTTAAAATATTTATAGGGATTTAGATATGAATGTGAATTATTACGGACTGAAGTGATCCTACAATATCTATATGGGCAGTTTGAAAATGTGCAGAAGGTAACTCAAAATTTTGACTGGAATATCTTCTATGTTTATTCATTTTTGACTATTGGCAAGATACAGACTCTATAGAAAAACTTTGCTCACAACAGGAATTGAACCTGCATACCTTTTTTACCTCGGGAAATCACTTCTTCAGCCGAAGGATGCCTCTACCAGTTCAGCCACAGAGCTAGACAAAGTCAGAATTATCTGTTAAGGAAGAGTTGTTTTTCTTGTTGAGATGTCTGCAAATTTATATCTGCTATTTTCAGTTTTGTACCTGAAATATAAAGAACAGTATTTTTTTTTTTTTTTTTTTTTAACCTTATTTCTTGTTAGTATAAACATTATTTTTAGTGGCTACATGTTTGAGCTGTTACCCCTGTTGAAATTTTTTTTTTTTTTTTTAAATTTTATTAAACATTGAAATTAATAACAACTGGCCTAAATTGTTAAAGTTAATTTCCCTGCTTAATAAAAAAAAACAAAAAAACAAATAAAGGCATCAGCTCATTTATATAGTTTTGTTTAATTTGCGTTTTTTGTGTGTGAGTTTGATGTGGATGTGAGAGTGGTGTAATGTGTTCGACTGAGAAATTGGTGAACTGAGTTCGATTTCCAGCTGAGATCATTACATTCACTTTTGCACAAAGGGAAAAGGCATGAATCCATCACTTTACCATTATTTGGTGCTCAGCATCCTTTTCTCCAGTCTGTGGTCTCCAGTCCCTACTTCATCTGTGAGGAGATTGTCCAGCATTCACTGACATATCGGAGGACTAATGTTTCATAACATTCCAGTGCTCTTTTCTTTGTTTCTAACAAGATTTTCTTGTTTCTTAATTCTTTGCTTAGTGTTTAGAAGGCGTCTTTCACTATCCCAATGCACCTTTTGAATTTCAGTGTTGTATTTTCCATCCTCTGTTAAAACATTTTTGCTCGATATAGTTGCTGCATAAACCACAGGTTGGCTCTATGAATGTTGAAGAAATACAAATCTGCCTGAGGAGACTATTATGCTTTGAAATGTGCAGCCATCATTTAGATAAGAAATCACACTGATTTGCATTGTGCCTTCAAGTCGAAACCATTCTGATGATGACAATACATCGTAGCAAAGACAGATTCTATAAATGAAGGTGATCCTTGCAGAAATTTCTTTCCTGAGGCCGAAAAAATCTGCCATTGATAACTTCTTGATGGGCCAAATTTTTTTTCAGAATGTCAGCAATCACAGTTCTCCACAATTTCCTGTCTTTTTTTCTTCCCTATGCAATGATGTTATATATTTGTTTTGTTTGAATCTATAAAATGAAATGTGAATTACCTTTCATTTTCTGCCAAACAAAAACAGATGAAATTTTATATATGGTGTGAAATATGTTGTTTGAAAAAGAGGATTTAACATACACCCAGTTTCCATCATTTTAAAGAAAATATTTCTCTATTTTTGGAAAAGAGTACTTCCTTTTATTTGAATCTGCCTATTTATTAAATTTTCGGAATTTGATACCCCCTCCCATTTAGATTTATTTGAGAGGCAAGAGTTGTTTTAATGGACAACACCTACTTTACACTTTTTTCCTGTTAGTAAAACTTTCTATATTTGTAAAGAAAGGGTTAACTATAAATTTTGTAATGTTAAAAAAAAAAATCTTGTCAAGAAGAGTTCTTAAATAATTTTGTGAATCATGTCTGTATTTTTTTTTTTTTTAACAAACTTAATTATTAGTACAGTAATGATTTAATAATTTTCATGATTTGTAATTCTGGACATTGAAAATTTTAGCAGATTACTCATGTAGGTGTCAATGTGCCATTATTTGAACATTTTTTTTTTCTATTGAACTTTTAAAATGCTTACTGATAATATAAACATAAGCAAATATTTTATTTAAGAATATATAAATATGTATATGTGACAGGAGGAAAATTTCCAAGAATGTTTACATTGTGTTTTCAATGTGGTGAAGATATAATTAAAAATAAAATGAAATATTTGAGCAATAACTGCTAAAATATACAATACAATTAAACCCCATGCAATGTATGTTTATATATTTTTGTGTATTATTAAAACTGTAGAATGACAGAAGGTATCTTATTTTCTTAAAATCATACTTATTGGTTAGTGAGAAGAAAGGACTAAGCATAAACTACAAGAAGACAGAATGCATGGTTATCAGTAAAAGGATAAGCCCAAAATGCAATTTGCAGGTTGGGAACGCTAGAATCAAGCAAACACAGAAGTTTAAATATCTGGGAAGAGTCTTGACTGAGCACAGTAAGTGCGACACTGAGATCTGTAGACGTATTGGGATGGCCAAGGACACATTTCAAGACAGGAGGATTTCTTTGGTAACAAAGAAAAGAATACTGATTACATGACATCTGTTTTTCTTTACGGCAGCGAATGATGGATGATTTCCTCAAAGATGAAGAAGAGACTCAAGGCAACAGATGTAGTTCTACAGAAAGATGTTAAAGATGTCATGTATTGAGCGTGTGAGCAATGATGAGGTCTTAGAGAAGTTGCAAACAAGGAGGAGGCTTATACTTAACATCAGGAAGAGGCAGTTGAAGTTTCTACGACACATAATGAGGAAGGAGGGCTTGGAGAATCTGATACTCACGGGTTGAATAGAGGGAAAGAGAGACAAGGGAAAACAACGCATGACATAGCTGGCGACTTAAGCAAGTGGATGATAGAATGTGGTCTGGGGGAGGAAGCAGAGGGAAGGAACTTGTTGACAGCTGCAAGGGATAGAAGGAGGTGGAGAGTCATGATCACCTACGTCCCGAAAGGGCATAGCACATAAAAAGAAAAGTAATCAATGTTTTAATTAGTCCCTGATTCATAATGGTTGTTTGACCCATATTTCCTGGTGTGAGTTTAAACTGACAACTTCTTTTATCTATATACTGTGACCATTTTGATTGAAGTTCTTATTTTCTTTCCAGAATTATAGTTTAGATATATAGAAGGAAGACATTAGTTTAAACTGACACCAGAAGGATATGGGTTTGTTATGATGGGCCTTGTTTGACTCCTGTTTCTGGTTAGTAAAATGTAACACATTTATACCTATATATAGGATTTATTATCAGAAGGATTTTGGTTGTACTAGTTTGGTAGATGTATGAAAGTCCTTGTAATGTGATTGTTAGTAAATGTTTCTTATTTTGGTGTTTGTCTTGGTGAATGAATACATTATTTGCAAGTGATACGTCTATCATTGAAAGTTAATATTAAACATGAGAAAGTGATATTTGTGTAAAACTTATCTGTGGTCATCATTCCTGGAGCAGCTCAAATCCACATATTCTCTTGGTGAGAGGCCGATGAAAAAGAGGAAGTCTCTAAATTTCCTGCCAGTAGTGTGGTTTCCTTTTTTGTATGGAATCATAGGAATTTTTTTTTGATCTCTCATGAGATCACAACAGATTCATGACAATTTTTATTATTGTACTTTTGAAATGTTCTTTTTTATAATATTGCTATTACTTTTTTTCTTTCATTTAAAATCAAAATATACCAATTTTTCTTTATTTTAATTTCTTTAAACTGAAAGTTTTTTTTTGTTCTTCTTTAGGCCTTTTCTCATGGCACCCAACTCTGATGGCTGTGGCAGTAAGCATTATTTTGTTTAAATTTTTTTTTTTACTTTTTTTAAAATTTTTTTACACGCTTTAATCTTTTTAGAACATTATTATTGGCTTTTTCTTTTTTTCCCCAAAATCTGACCAAATATCAGAATTTTACTTAGAATCCCTTTCTGATGAGGTCAATAACTTTTCAGCGTCCTTTGGGATGAAGTATTTTTGTGGGTTAATTAATTACTTAATAAAAATTTAAAAAATAACAATATAAAAATGACCCTACACTTTATGCCCTGTAGAATTTTATATTAATATGAAAAGTGGGTGATGAAAAGTTGCTAAACATCCAGAATTTTATTCTGATTCCTCTCTTGATTTGAATCCTTTCTTTTAGCATTATTTCATACATTTTCTAGAAATTTTAAATATTTTGGACAGTTTTTTTCTTTCTGCTTAAATTTTTTGTTTTATGATGAATTATTTAATTTTTATATTAGAAAATGATTAATTTTTTTTTTCTTTATTCTCTTTCTTCAATTTTGCTCTTTCTATTTTTGTGTATTTATTGAATTCATTTTCTATCTGTATGCAGACTGTTTGATCCTAGTATAAGTTTTGGATTATTCTAATATCTTTCACAAAAAAATAATTCTCATTTCAGTTCTAATTTCTCTATCATACCTTATCAAATGCATTTGTGTAATCCATAAAACAGATATACGAGTAGAGTACAGGTAAAATCTGGCACTCTACTTTTAAACCCAAAATTTTAATTAGAAACATTAAATGTCCATTCTGACAAATTTATAAATTGTTTTAAATGTTAAAATTTTAAATGCTTGATTTAAATAATTTTGGATGCTGTTTCATTCTCAATAAATACAAGGATACGATCCTTGTTTTGATTTTCATCAATGACCTTCACTAATGTCATCAGTTCTCAAGTAGGTATTTATGCAGATGACAACTATTTGCTCCTGTCTTCTTAGCAAGTCAGACAGATCTGACAAAGTAAAATTGGCAACTGCTTTTGAAGAGGACCTCCAGTCAGTGGTTAACTGGAGTAAGGAATGGTTTTTAAATTCTAATGCTTCCAAAACAAAACTGGTTTCATTTAATCACTATTGAGAACCTTGTCTGCCAGTCGTCAGCATGGCCTGATGCTAAACACCAGGAGAGCAATACTTTGCAACTTTTTGGGCTCTTGTTTTCTCTTGACATGAAGTGGAGTGATTATATTGAATTAATCACTGGGTCTACAAATATGAAAGTTGGTTCACTGTGTTGTACAAAATAATTCTTTATGTTAGAATCCTTTTTTTTTTTTTTCTTTTTGCACATTTATAAATCTACCATTCCTTCATGCATTGAATACTGCTGCCATTTCTTAGTCTGGTACTCCTCTTGAGATTCTTGACAAAATTCAAAGAAGGTTTTGTAATGTAATTGATCTTGACCTGACATCTTGACTTCAGTCACTTTCTCCCTCTGTCTTTTCATCGCAGTTGTTTTGATGAATTTTTCTCCTTAGACTTTTGACTGCATCAGTTTAAGCATCCTACTAGATTGGCAACTAGGTCTCATTGTTTTATTGGTGAACTAGTTAGTTGCAACTGTCAGTTCTATTCTAACAGTTTCTTTTCTTACACACCTTGCCTGTGGAATTCCCTTCAAATTTCTCACTTCCCTGATAACCACAATCTTCAAAAATTTAAATGCAACATCAATTGCCATCTTCTGTCTTCTTGAACTCTATTCCTTTGTTGTTCTTTCTCCTCTCTTCATGTCCCTAAAATCATCTCACTGTGTTTCACTCCCTGTAATCTTCTGTCATAGTGGCATTATTGCCTTGATTGGGGTGAAATTGTTTTAAAAATAAAAATGAAAAAAAAACATTTTATCCATAAAATGTTGAAGTATTGCTGCTACATTCAAAAAAAGTCTGAATGGCATATCAATCATGTGCCATGCGTGATACACGCTTAGGCGATCATGTATCTTTCGATACATGACTGATGAGGCAGATTTTTTCCTGCAGTAGGTTGTCATTTCTTTCTGTGGTAGACCAGTTGCCATCCAAGGCTATAGAACCCGGTCTGTCCTGCTATTTACCCATAGCTGGGGGGAGAAGAAGAGGATTCATACCTTTCCCAAGGGTATTAGCACGTAAGTGAATGTAATGGATTCAACTGGAATTTGAACTTGACTCTCCGATTTCTCAATCCGAGGTGTTATCCATTACTCCACTGTACCTATGGCATATATTTATATTAAAACAGTCCAAAAATAATGTATTTTTATCCTGTGATGAACTGAAGTTAAATCTACTTTTGAAAAAACTGCATTTGTTGGCAAGTGTAGAGCTAAATGTTGGCATTTTGTATAGAATACCAATCTCTTTTTGTTATAGCTATTTATCGGAGCAGGTTAATCATTGCAACATAGTTTTATTTTTATTTTTTTTTCTGCTTAAAATTTTTTTGTTTTTTAATGAATTAATTAATTTTATTAAAAAAATCTGCACATTATGATTTTTCTAAAATAATTTAATTTTTTCTTTATTTCAGTTTTGCCTGTTCATGTTTGAGGGTCTGCTTGTCTTTTCTCCGCACAGTTCTCTTATTAATCCACAAAACCGAATTGCAAGAATCACCTGGCACTGGATACTCCTAACAGTAGCTCTGTCGGCAGCAACTGTTGGCACTGCAGTTATTTATTATAACAAACATATCAACAACAAACCTCATTTTACAAGTTGGCATGGTTATATTGGAATCATATCTCTTGCTTACTTTGCCTTGCAGGCATTAGGTGGCATTGTAGCAAAGTATCCACGTTTGTTGTTACCTTCTTTTAAGATTGTTGATGTTCGACTGTACCATGTTGCATCTGGTCTGGTTGCAATTTGCCTGGTTAATATGACTTTGTATCTCTCTATGTATTCAAACTGGTTTATCAGAAATGTTGTGGGTTACATGTGGTATGTTTGCACTTCTGCACTGGCCTTAATGACCGTATCAGTCATTCAGCAAATCATTGAAACTCATGTGCCGCGGCTTATGAATCGATTGCGTAGACATGTACGAGAAGAAATTTAAGAAATAGAATGAATGACTTTATTTGGTAAAGCAAAGGTTATCGTTTTTTGTTTCTATTGCAAAGAGAAATTTTTCATTTATTTTTTTTAATACTAAAGTGCGCTCAATACGAGGCTCAAGAGCCACTCATGATAGTCACTGAATGAGGTGTGTTATATGAATGTAAGGGGAGGTAGAAGGAAGTGAAAATTATAAGGATAAGGAGGATAGACAGCAATTGACCTTTGACTTGAATTTTTACTTTAAAAGGTTTAAATTTCTTTTTTAGTTAGTAATGATCTTTTTTTAAAGTACAAATTAAGAATTGTGGTCCCTGTTATTATGATCCGAATGATCATGTATGCTCTTTTGTACCAAATACAAGTGCTGTCTAGAATAGTGATGTTGGTAGGAATTTTTTAACTTATAAAATAAGTATGCCAATTCAAATAAACATTCCATGAAGAATTTTTTAAAAAGGTTAATAAATGTAGAATTAAGTAATCATGTTGCAGACAAAATGATTTAAAAAATAATAAGCATGTTGTGCAAAATAAGCACCATGCTGGTGTGTGTGGGGGGCTTATTGAATTGAATAAAAGAAATTAATCATGTGGCTACTTGTAGTTGGTAAACAAATGTGCCTTTTTGCATTCAGCTTAACGACCTGTATTGTTTGTTCAGCAAATCGGCCTCATTTGCCATGGCTTCAGAATTGTCTAAGTAGACATATATGTGAAGAAATTTAATAAATAAAATGAACAGCTTTATTTAATAAGCAAAGGTTATCTTTTTATGATTCCATTGCAAAGAGAGATTAATCTTTTATTTTTAAGAAATTTTTCTATTTATTTAAATCTCATTTTAGATGCAACTTAAGAATTATTATCCCTAATTGTTTTTACGCATACCCCTTTTGTACTAAATACAAATGCAGTCTGGAATAGTCGTGTTGGTGGGAATTTTTCAACTTATAAAATAAGCATACCATTTCAAATTGACATTCTGTTGGGAATTTTTATATAAGTTTAACAAATTTGGAATGAGGTAATCATGTCACAGAGAAAATGATTTGAAAAATAATGTGTGGTGTACCAAATAAGCTGGGGGAGGGGAATTGAAATTACAATGATCAGTGATATTCTATATGAGCCTAATCTGAGGTTAACAATGGAGGATTGTGAGGTCAGTGCAATATCAATGTATTATTTTTTTTAATTTTTAAAATTTTTTTTGTGAATTCTTTTCTCTTTTAATCAGACTGGCATTTATTAGGTCAAAATTGCTGTCCATTGAATGTTTCATGTATGTAATATTGTACAACATGAATGTTGCTTATGTTGCTGTAAGCTGCTATTGGTTAGAATATATAGCCTTTTTTTTTTTTTTTTTTGGGTAAAGTGTAAACAAAAATGCTACCATAACACCATGATGATTTGTAGGGATGGGAAATATTTTTTGACTGCAGACTCAGCACTAGTCAGCCAGTGTTGGCTGTCATAGTGTGCACATCTCTTAGATTGACTTTGAGTGCTAGAGATTTTGAAAGATTGGCTGCTTTGCAGGCTGTTCTTTCGTTTTCATGTCTTCAACTGAATATTTGAGGGGAACTGCATACAATTTTCAATAAATTTTTAAATTAAAAATAAAGTCATGTATTAAAAAATGATCCTTAATGAATTACTTTCATTTGTTTTTAAAAAGTTGCTGAAAAAATTTCATAGTTTGTATGTTGTTGAGTTGGCAGTGATAAATCATCCTGTACTCTTGTGAGATGGACAGTGCGATAGAAGCGCTTCTCAATGTCCGGACTTTACTACTCTGCTATTATTCTTTTCACAAAGTTAAAGTTCGATCACCAAAGTTAAGCAATGTCGAGCCTTGTCAGTACGTAGATGGGTGACTGCTTGGGAATACCAGGTGCTGTAAGCTTGGATGTGTGGGTAGTGTAATGGGTAATGGCTTGGCTTGGATGTGTGGGTGGGTGGTGTAATGGATAATGGCTTGGAATTGTTATTCAGAGAGCTGAGTTGCAATTTCCATTGGGTTTGTTATATTCAATTATATTCAGCCAGTCTACCACAGAAAGTAGAGGCAGCTTATTACAGGAATTCATTTGCCAAGTCAATCAGAAAGCAACATGATCACCCAAGTGTGCATCACACACGGCAACTAAAGAGGGAATGAACTACAAAGAAGTTGCTGCTAACAATCAGTAAGAGATAACTGAAAATTTGGGTGCACATAACGAGGAAAGAAGGCTTGGAAAATATAACACTCACAAGGTTATATGAAGGCAAAAGAAAAGCAGCTAGTAATCTACTTGATCAATTTGAACAAAAAGGGATTGCTATGGAGCAAGAAACTGTGGAGAACCATGATCGCTCATATCCTGAAGGGGCATAGCACATATAGATGGTAATAAAGTAGCTGATGACAAAATATTGAAGTTTGATAACTGGGTGCACCTTTAAAACCCTCAGTGACCAGAACTTGGCCAGAGCTGATCTCTCCTCTGACCAAGCTCTAGCAGCTCAGTGGGAGAAAAACTGGCTGGTCATATTCAATGCTTCAAAAATCAAACCATTCTCGATCAAGCCCTAAACTTTCACCAATCATGATGAATGGATGCTCCGTGAGTGCCTATTGAGACTAAAACTAAGCCCATAACTTAAGTGGGACTTGATCCATCACTAAAGATGCTGGAAACAGGGTCAGTTCCCTGTGCCACTCCAGCAAGTAACTAACTCCTCTTATTATCCACTGCCTTTACAGGAGCCTAATCAGGCTGAAAATGGAGTACTGCTGTCATATATGGGCAGGTGTTGCCCAGTCTTCACTTTCCATGCTCAATAGAATCCAAAATCATCTCTGTATCCTTGTAGGTGACAAGTTATTTTCCACCATACAACCACTTTCTGACTGATGAGATGTCGCAAGCCTCTCGCTGCTCTATTGCTATTGACGTGAAGAATTTTCAGATGAACTATACTCCTTAGTTTCACCAGTCCTAACCTTCACAGCTAAGACTTTGTATTCCCTTGGTGAGATGTAAGTTCCACTGAAGCTGCTTCTTCTGACGAACCACTGCCTTGAAGAACCGATTCCCAAGAGGTTGCTTTTCTGATCACTACAATTTTACCCTGTTCAAATCTAGAGTTAGCCATTATCTTCCCCATGCCTTTTACTCTGCAACCCTCTACCTTGAGTGTCCCTCGGGCCTTGTACAGGATGAAGTTCATTGTTAAAAAAAAAAGTAATATATTGTATTACCTTAGAAATCTCAACACATCCCATCCAACTTTATATGTACTTATAAATACATTTTAATTACTGCTGAGTGGTTACCTGTATACCTTTACCAAAAACTTTAGTAACCGATTGAGATGAGGTGATTGAAAAGAACAAAATTGGATTAATAGGATTACAGGCTGTGAAATTGAAATATGTTTATAATTAATTTCCATACACCAAAGTGTGTCCCTTATTTTATTTTTTGTCTTTCTTGGTGAGGAGTCAAAATCGGTAATGTAATTTCTTGGGTGTGGGGAGCATTTGATAAAATATTAAATAAAAAAAAAAACCATTTGAAACCTACCTAGAGATTTAAACAATCATTTGATATTTCTAAATATGCTTAGCTGTGAAAAGGTTAAGGAATAGTGAATGTTTTTATTTCAATTCATATGTAAAGTTCGTCATCGTGATTTCTTTGTACTGCTTGATTGTGATTTGAGTGGCTGTCACATTTCTATGGAAATTGAAAATATTGTGACGATACATATTCGCACTTACCAGATTCGAAGCATCCAAGATGTTTTGCTTGTGAGGCTGCTGTTTTATGATGAATATGTGCATAAAGCCAAGCTAGACAGTTCGTCATTTCGTCAGCTGCATCATTTTCCTCTCGCAAGTTTGGTCCAAGAAAAGTACATTCTCCGACATTTGTTTGTTTTATGCTGCTTGGCACGATTTGCTTGTGGTGGTAAGCATGCTGATTGGTCAAGCTGGGGACTCTGATTGAGAATGAGGCCAACAGCGATGATTGGTGCATTGGCTGTGTTTTTGGTCAATAAAACCTGTCTGGGACATTGGCTGACAGTGCAGCTGGGACCGTGGTGATGTGCACAGTTATAGAGTTTGGTATTAAGTTACGACTCTGTTTATTTTTGTCTGGAAGATGGAGCGGTGTAATTACCGCTGTCTACCAAAACGTGGGAGGAACACACTGAACATCAACAAATATTTCTTGTAATATTGATGTTGATAATGAAGTACTTGGCTGTTGACTCTCATAGAAATACAAGTGACATTGTAATTGAGATAATGTGTGATATTGAAAAAATTGCAAAATGAAGTAGATTCATATGTTCTCCCAGACAGAAGTTTATATATGGAGTAGAAATTTCTTCTTTATGTGCCATGTCCCCTCATGATGTAGGCGATCATGTCTCTCCACAACTTCCTCTCGTTTGTAGCTCTTAATAAATTTTATTTGTTTGTTATCTCTTCTAAACCCTGTTCTGCTAAGCATTTTACACAAAGCATGTTTGGTAGGTTATGTGCTGCTTTCCTCTGTCTCTCTTGCTTTGAATCTGTTCTGTGAGTATCAAATTTTCCAAGCCCTCTTTCCTCATTATGTGCCCTAGAAATTTCAACTGCTTCTTCCTGATGTTAAATATGTTTCCTTCTTATTTCCATTTTCTATAAAACTTTGTTGTTCACATGTTCGGTCCATGGTATCCTCAGCATCCTTCTGTAGAACCACATTTCTGTTGCTTCAAGTTTCTTCATCTTCAAGCACTCACTGCCATACGGGAGGAAATTTATGTTTGAAAAAGAGGATTTAACACACCAATGCTCTCAGTTCCCCCTCCATTTTAAAATTATTTTTTATGATAAACTACATCTGGTTGCAAGTCCTCTGATCAGAATGTTTTGAGGAGAGTGGAACCACCTTTTAATTTCTGTTGTTCTCAGGTCCACACTGACCCTGGGTGGTAGCACCTGATGGGGTCCCAGCTATGGGCAAATAGTGAACCTCCTAACTAGGGTCAAAACCGGAAATTCATTAGAAAAAATTACTAGCAATACATTTTCATTGTAGAAGAATAAAAAAAAAAATAAAAAAACAATACATTTTTGAAAAAAAAAAATTTACCAAAGGTCACAAGAACATACCATTTTGGCATTAAATGACCCATAAGGAGTTGATATCCCATTAAACAAAAAAAAAAAATTCTATCTTTGGAAAAGAGTACTCTCTTTTTATTTAAATCAGCCTGTTTATTAAATTTTTGGAAATTGAAAGACCTCCGTCCTAAATTTGATTCTCCTCCCACCATGTTTGTATTTTTGTAAAAAAAAAAAAAAAAAAATTAATATTTTTTGTTTTAACAAACATCATCATTATTGTAGTTCAGTCTTTTATGATTTGTATTTTTACATTTTTGACATTGAGAATTTTAGCACATTACTCATGTAGGTGTCAATGTGCCATTATTTAAACATTCTTTTTTCTATTAACCTTTCAAAAATGCTTACTCATAATAACATAAGCAAATATTTTATTTAAGAACATATAAATATGTATATGTGACAGAAGTAAAATTTCAAAGAATGTTCACATTTGTTTTTTCAATGTGATGAAGATATAATTAAGAATAAAATGAAATATTTGAGCAATAACTACTAAAATATACAATACAAACCAAATGCAATGTATGTTTATATATTTTTGTGCATTGTTAAAACTTTGTTGAAACAAATAAACAAGATGACAGAAGATATGGTTGTTGGTGTTTTTATTCATGTGGCACAAGGCCTTTTTAACGTGGGCTCTCTGAACCCGTGGGCTCGGCCAAAAATATGCCCATTGAACCCGTATAAACAGGTTCAGGGTCGGTTTACCTCCCCAAAACAGAATCTGCCCTTCAGCGTAGCCTCCTTCAGGTTCCTCCCTGCCCGAAGGCAGAGAATTCAACCGATCTGTCGTTCAAGACTTGAGCGCATCATAATTGACAACTGATGGTCATCCACTTCTCGGCTTTATTTCAAGTCACCATCTTTAAGGTGATTAAACCAGTTTTGCGGTAATATGGTCAGATATTGTTTCATATATGTAACATGAACGTTAAAATGTCACATTTTTCAAGGGTTGTCTCCCTTACGCTCATAAACCTTTTAGTTTTACTTAGTTAAGAAAAATAATTTGTTTTTATTTAGTATTTTAATTTTGTTTAATTTCTTTATTCTTTTTTGTGATTTATATTTTGATAAAAAACATTTGAAAGGTAACCTGTTATTTTATTTTAAACCTAATGTTTAGTTTAATTATTCTTATGCCTTATTTCATTTACATTAGAAATTAGTTTTCTTTTCTCATTAATTGTGCTAGTCTCCCCCCCCCCACTAATTCTCGATACGTAAGTTTTAAAAATAAATTTAAAAAACAAAAAAAGCTTTCATTTTATCTTTAACTGAAAGTTAAAGGATTAAAATTTTTTTTCTTTTCTTTTTTTACTATTTCCAGTAAGCAAGATACTCTGGTGGATTTCAAACAGAAATTGCATATTGATTAGAATGTATTTTTTTTTTTGTCAGTAAAAAGTGATAAAAAATCTTATTTTTTGTAAACAAAAGCTAATTCTCGTTTTTAAAAATTTAGTAAAATACAATATATTTATCTGAAACGTTATTTGAGGAAAATTAGCAAATTTAAAGTTAATCTGATTTGAAACAAACAAAAAAAAAAAAATTAAAATGTGTACACCACTGACACAAAAAAGAAAAAAAATAACCAAAATTTAGAACGTGGTAGAAAGGATTAAAAAATTAGAGCTAACGCAATAATTTATGAAATGTTATTAATTTAAGAAATTTTTATAGTACAGTGTAACCCGGATATAAGAGAAACCCGGATATAAGAGA